TTTCACCTCCACCACCTCCTCTTCATGTTCATATCAAGTGTTCACTACTGAGAATGAACTATATAATGAGTGTTGTTAATTTCATTCTTCACGGGAGACATCTCCCGTCATGCAGGGTGCAGTCACACCTCCACAGATCTCCAGTATCAGCTCTTGATACTGGTAATGGCTCCAAAGGGCCACCACTGACGGGCTATTCATGCCCGTGCCACCATTTGGCTGGCTTAATCTTCATCAACCAATCAATCTTTCATCCTTGTGGCTCGTCTGGGTCTCCAACTTCCACCTCTCGTCCGGGGGGAGGTGGGGGGGGGGGGAAGAAATAGCCTAAGCTACTCTATCCCTTTAAGATGTATATTATTCTCAATAAACGTTCTTGAACCTCTCGTCTTGCTTCTCCTCACCTGCAGCATCAACACCTCTGGTCTGTCTCCTGTGCCAGGTATGTCCACTACGGGGTCACCATAGCCCGTGCTACTTGCAACTTTTTGTTCCCAGTAGGTGAATCTAAGACAACATCATCCTCTTAAGCTTGCTGCTCGAGCTGACATGTTGAGTATCAGGCGACAGTCTCAGTGGTAGTCTCCTTATCGCAAGATTAGGCTGCTACACCCGCTGATAACTGTACTCTTGGACCCAGTTATTGAGAGGTTAATGGAGTGGAGGCAGATGTAGCACTCTCTACTCCTAGTGTCAGGCCAGATTCACGAAGCAGCTACTCAAGCACTTACGAACCTGTGTATCTTTTCTCAATCTTTGGCGAATTTGTTTACAATTATTAAACAGTTAATGAGCTCCGAAGCACCAGGAGGCTGTTTATAACAATAACAACAGTTGAATGGGAAGTTTTCATGCTTGTAAACTGTCTAATAAATGTAACCAAAGCCGTCAAAGATTGAGGAAAGATGTACACGTTCATAAGTCCTTGCGTAATGGCTTCCTGAATCTGGCCCCTGGCTTATTTTCATAAATTCGAAAAAGTTGATTTCTTTTATAAATTATATGTTAATATTTCACCGTTCCAATTCCCGAAGCTTCACCGGTAATATAATACAATATTATTCAAGTTTACAACTAATCCTTCAAAATAGTTATTTTTCTCTCGGCTATTACTATATTACAACATAATTTTAATATGTACGTAGGCTACATATGTTGTATTTCATATTGTGTCTGGTTACAATTTGATGGTAGGCCTATTAACCGCTAAAGGCGGAGATATTACGGCCAACACAATAACTTAATCCCAACCATGACGATCTATAGACAGTGTATTGGACTTTAAAAATTAAAGAGTATGTATATGGAGAATGTTGATACAATTCTCAGTGTAGATACTGTACCCATTATGCTGCCAGAGGTGTTGATACTGCCTGGTATCAACCAGGCTATGATTCATAAGTCAGGCTGCTCGCAGCCGCGTCCAACAGCCTGGTTGACCCAGTCCAGTCCGTCGAGCCCCGAAATCATGGCACGTTAAGGGGTATCATCTCTCAAGTGTACTCATCCATGTGCAATAAATAATCCACCGGATTATGTTGTCTTGTTAAAGATAAGGAAGGGAAGAGAACTATGAGGAGAAAGCGCCAAGCCATTACGACTATATAGCACTTGGAAGGGAAGAACTTGGGATGGGACAGGGGAAAGGAATGGTGTCCAACCACTTAGACGGGCACCAAATCATTATATTGTGAGTGAGAATACATAAGTTTTAGCAACATTCAAATAATTCATCCATTTGGATGAATAAACAGATTCAAAGTTCATTGTGTGAGTGAAAATACATAAGTTTCAGCAACATTCAAATAATTCATCCATTTGGATGAATTAACAGATTCAAAGTTCATTGTGTGAGTGAAAATACATAAGTTTCAGCAACATGCAAATAATTCATCCATTTGGATGAATTAACAGATTCAAAGTTCATTGTGTGAGTGAAAATACATAAGTTTTAGCAACATCAAAATAATTCATCCATCAGGATGAGGAAACAAATTCAAAATTCATTGTGTGAGTGGGAATAACATCATATAGGATGATGTCACCACTGTAGGCACAAGTCACCTCTTGTGTAACCTTAATATTAGTGACAAATATATTCTGCACGCACTGTAGTGATTGATGGTGATGACAGAGCATAATGGAGCCGTCTAATGTGTTCCTGTTGACTAGTTTGGAAACTAACGTTAGTGAAGTCTGCATTAAGTCAATGTTTCTATCAGATATACATTGGTTCTCAACCAGGGGGGTAGAAATAGCCTAAGCTACTCTATCCCTTTGAGATGTATTTATTGCTTATCTCAATAAATATACTTGATTGGTTCTCATCTATTTTGACTGTTCAGTCGAGTAAGACAGTCTATAGATTCTTGCAGGTTTATACCATGAACTCAATTCCTTTATATTTGTTCATTATTGTGTTTTATGTATGATAATACATCATGTATTTTTATTATGTATCTTAATACATGTATTACATCAGCAAATGAAATATTTCAGTGTTCTTCGCTTGGATTTAGAATTGTGAATGGTCAAAACTGGTCAAATAAAAATCGGAACCATCATTAACAAAATAAATTTAATCAAATAATATAAATTTACACAATATACATAATGAACTGCACACACACACACATATATATATATATATATATATATATATATATATATATATATATATATATATATATATATATATATATGTCGTACCTAATAGCCAGAACGCACTTCTCAGCCTACTATTCAAGGCCCGATTTGCCTAATAAGCCAAGTTTTCATGAATTAATGTTTTTTCGTCTACCTAACCTACCTAACCTAACCTAACCTAGCTTTTTTTGGCTACCTAACCTAACCTTACCTATAAATATAGGTTAGGTTAGGTTAGGTAGGGTTGGTTAGGTTCGGTCATATATCTACGTTAATTTTAACTCCAATAAAAAAAAATTGACCTCATACATAGAGAAAAGGGTTGCTTTATCATTTCATAAGAAAAAAATTATAGTAAATATATTAATTAATGAAAACTTGGCTTATTAGGCAAATCGGGCCTTGAATAGTAGGCTGAGAAGTGAGTTCTGGCTACTAGGTACGACATATATATATATATATATATATATATATATATATATATATATATATATATATATATATATATATATATATATATATATATATATATATGCACAGTTTTTACAGACATGAAAACAAAGATTGAGAAGACAACGCATTCACACACAAACAGATCAAACAAGGCTTAAAAAAGACAATCTTTGGCTCTCACCACTGTAAACAAAAGCCTATCAATTGTACACAATCATTTACTGTAACAAACATCTTACACAATTCTTGATACAGTAGTCACCCCCCCCTAAAAAAAATTAAATAAATAATTATATGAAAGAAGCGTCCAAAATGAAGCATAAATAAACACCACTTGTAATAATGGCGATGATAAATTAGAATAAACAATAATTATATTTTATAATAAATATATAATTACATTATAACTATATAATTACATAATAATGTTATTGTATTATATAATTATCATGTATTAAATATGAGATTTGTGCATAATGAACTCATGATGTATCAATGAGAAAATCGGTAGGAGCTGTGAGGAGGATTCGAACCTGCGCACTTGGTACTTTCAACCACGTGCCCTATGCTATGCCATTGTAAATAAAACAATGCTACCTGGGATTCAACGGAATCCTCTAGGGGTCCGGAGGCTTCTACTGAAGCCAATTAACGTGATACATCAATGAGAAAATTGCATTGGGGGGGGGGGTGTGAAACCCCTGATTGGGCTTCAGGGGAAGCCTCAGAAATCCTAGAGGGTTCAGTGGACTCCCAGGTGGCATTGTTTTATTTACCATGTCATGGTGTAGTGGTCTAAGGCATGTGCTTGGAAGTACCAAGTGCGCAGGTTCGAATCCTTCTCATGACTCCTACTGATTTTCTTATAAGATTTGCAATAATGATAATGATTAACAAATATTATAACATAAATAATGGTTATGAAGTTAATGCATTGTTGGCCAGCAGTGAAGCAGTTCAACATTGACATGTACAAAAATGTACATATTCCTGATACCAGTTGGTTTGGTCAGAGTGAAAAGCTAGACCATATGGACCTATAGGGTTTAAAGGTATGCTATAGGCCTATATAGATTTGACAATACTGCCATTGTAATACTGTTCTCATATATACAAACAAATATGGCACACTTTTCTAATTGTCAGTCAAATACAACTATAATTTTCTATAATATTATATATATATATATATATATATATATATATATATATATATATATATATATATATATATATATATATATGAGAAGTGAACACTCTTTCGTATTCAGAGTTAAATGTCAAGTTTTTCCCTGAGTGCTCTGTGTTCCCTTCTCTGAGGCTGTGGGTCCCTATAATTGCACCAGTGGTGGTACCCCCCTTATGTATATATATATATATATATATATATATATATATATATATATATATATATATATATATATATAATACATACATACACACACATCAGACTACTTGTCACTGCCAAATAATAATTATACATCACTCATAACGTCCAGTCACTGGTCAAATATCTCTGTTTGCGTCCACTTCTGACAACTGTAGTGTCATTTCAGTGTTTGACTAGTGTCTAGTGTTATCTGAAGTCTCTGTTTTCACGTTGAGAACTCTATTATTAACACAGTAAAATTTCTCGATTTATTATTTCCACTGACCGTTCCTGTGGCACTGTCACTGCCACTATTGACATATTCCCTGGCTTTTCAGACCTCTAGTGGTGTCCTCACTATTCTACTCACTGTCAGTTTGCTACAGTTTTCACTTTCCTAAAATTTGTGATTATTATTTAAAGTTTATCACCACTGTACTATAATTCCAAATTCATTTTCAATATTTGGGTTCCAAAGGCCGACTTTCTCAATCGTGCATGAAGTCTCTTATTTCCACCACTGTGACCTCGACCTTCACTACTGACCTTTACCCGTACCCTGGTGAGCTTGACCTTCACCTGGCACTTGTTCTGGGACATTCAGGCCAAACAAGTCCTTGAGGACTACTGCCTCGATGGCATGAATTGAGTAATGTTGGTCACTTTATCCATTGTCTCACAAACCGGTTAAGAATGCGACCAATTAATTACACGTTTACAGAGACTGAGACGACTTGTGTGTTTATCCTTCTGTCATACGTGCTGGAGTGGTGGACACTGTCACATGTTGGGATGCATTGATGTGACTCGAGGGCGAGCTGGGGCTGCAGTGACGTGACTCCGAGGGCGAGCTGGGGCTGCAGTGACGTGACTCGAGGGCGAGCTGGGGCTGCAGTGATGTGACTCCGAGGGCGATCTGGGGCTGCAGTGACGTGACTCGAGGGCGAGCTGGGGCTGCAGTGATGTGACTCGAGGGCGAGCTGGGGCTGCAGTGATGTGACTCCGAGGGCGATCTGGGGCTGCAGTGACGTGACTCGAGGGCGAGCTGGGGCTGCAGTGACGTGACTCGAGGGCGAGCTGGGGCTGCAGTGACGTGACTCGAGGGCGAGCTGGGGCTGCAATGATGTGACTCGAGGGCGAGCTGGGGTTGCAGTGATGTGACTCGAGGGCGAGCTGGGGCTGCAGTGACGTGACTCGAGGGCGAGCTGGGGCTGCAGTGATGTGACTCGAGGGCGAGCTGGGGCGGCAGTGATGTGACTCGAGGGCGAGCTGGGGCTGCAGTGATGTGACTCGAGGGCGAGATGGGGCTGCAGTGACTTAACTGGATGACTTGGGCAGCAGTGACTTGAGCAGATTTGACTCGAGGGTGACCTGAAGTAGTAGGACTTGACTCGAGGGGGTGAGCTCACTTTCTGGCCTTGTGGGTCTTCCTGGTCTTGAGGACGAGGTGGTGGAGGGCGGCCATTGCCTCATCTAGTCCCTCGCCCGTAACAGCGCATGCGGCGGCCACGGCCCATGGTTGCGGCTGCGGCAGGTCGGGCAGGCCAAGGGCTTTGGCCAGCTGCTGGGTATCAATGGCCCCAGGAAGATCCTGCTTGTTGGCCAGCACCAGCAGCGGCGGCCGAGCTCTGTTGAGCGCCAAGCACTCGCTGTTCTGCACGCGGGTGAGGCGGTGGAGCTCCAGACGAGCCTCCTCCAAGCGGTCCCAACTACTGCTGGAGTCGACGACGAAAATAAGGGCATCCGTAGCTCGGGTATAGGAACGCCATAGTGGTCGTACCCGCTCGGCGCCGCCAACATCCCACACTAGCCACTGCCCACCCCCACACTTCACCTTCTCGCAGTTGAAGCCCACAGTGGGCACGGCGTTCACGTACTGGCCGTACTTGAGCCGCAGGAGAGCCGTGGTCTTGCCCGAAGAGTCCAATCCCACAAGCACCACGTGTGGCGGGCTAGTCACTAGTGCTACGAGACCCAGCACCAGGGACTGTGCTGCCTCTACCACGCGATTCACACCCATGGCTCTTACACCAACTGATCCACGCTCTGTTACAACCAGCTACCTGGATATTTTATCTGATCCACGCTGTTACAACCAGCTGAGCCACACTTTACACTCCACACACGGTAAGTGTAATCACTAATAAACCCCCGCTATAAAGAGCTGTAAGTGGTTAAGTTTCGTATCTTTTATTTGGCAGGTTGACCAAGCCAAGTGAAAAGTGTGGAGAGCGAGACTGACGAACCCTCCCCGCGTCGTGGTCTGCTGGGGACTGATGCCATTGGGACGTGCTCGTCCAAATATGGAGGCGCGTGAGTTTCTTTAAAAAGAGTTGCCAATTGCCACTTGTTCTTCTGAACAGGAAGCACAGATAATTAGAATATTTTTGAACACATTCAGTAGATTCATATGTAACTAGCACTTAGTGTTATTCCCTAATAGTAAAACTCATTTTTGGGCGTAATAAATTAAGGCAAAGTTATTGACGTTAGGCTACTATTTTTTTCCTGGCCAATCACAGCCGAGAACGGAGGAGGTAGGCGGAGCTACAGCCATGACGTAGCACACAAACATTACCACGTGCTCAAGTTTACTAATTTAGTATCCACATTTGTTGTATAATAAAGCTCATTGCATATGAAGGCAAACTAATAAGAACATAAGAAATAAACATTGCAGTATGCTTACTGGCCAATAAAAGCAGGTTACATTTACACATAAGAAGTATCAGTTAAGAAAATTATTAGTTATGAAAAGAACTCACTAAAATAAAGTACCAGTTACGAAAACAACCAATTAAAAACTATTAGTTAAGAAAACTATCAATTGAGAAAGTATCAGTTAAGAAAACTATCAATTAAGAAAACTTAACTGATAGTTAAGAAACTCAACTCATGATACCGGCCCATGCAGTGCTTAATGTGTCTTTATATCTAACTAATACTTAAAATATATATTTTTTGTATAAACTGTTAATGTATATGTTGAATGACTTTTTTCATTTGTCTAAACCTGATCAATATTTTTTAATTCCTTCATAAATGAGAAGATTTACGAAAAAAATTATCATCTCTGAAAATATGTTGATTAACACGAAAGTACTTAAGGAATTTACTGTTTCACTCTCTCCTTCGTGGCTAAACATTGTCATATAATATATGAAAAAGTTTAACCAATGTAAATGTACACATTTGTTTAAAGTACACACACACAATTCAAGGGAACATGTTATACCTTGTAATACCAGACGAGCCTCTGATACTAGGCGACCAGTAAGAGGGTGGTGGTGGGGGGGGGGGGGGGGAATTAGCCTAATCGTTTCCTCAGCCACACCCTCACGTCGTCGCCAGGTTTACGAGCGCGGGTTTACTCGTAAACCAAAAGTGGGCTGTTTGTGGCTCCGTCTGGTCCGCCGTAAACTACGAACACAGCCATGTGGATCAAAGGGGATTTGGAAGAGGCTTTAGGGAGTTGGGGGTAACTTGTGACAGGCTGGTGGGGAAATTTGAAGGAAGATTTGAGGGGAATTTTAGTGTGAATTAGGAAAAAGTTTCGGGAAGTTTAAAAGTAAACTTGACGGAAACTTCAGGAAGATGGAGCTAGTACACAGATGAGTATATATATATATATATATATATATATATATATATATATATATATATATATATATATATATATATATATATATATATATATATATATATATATATATATATATATCTCTCTCTCTCTCTCTCTCTCTCTCTCTCTCTCTCTCTCTCTCTCTCTCTCCCCAACCCATCACCAGGTCTCTAACAATACTCAATAATCCTGGATTACTCAGATCATTAACTAGGGCGTAAACCCAGAGGGGATTAACCATATGAAGGAGACACAAGGGATTTACCCATGTTTTCCTAGGCAGCAACTGTGAATAGGTCCTGTAGGGCTGTTCTTGTTGGTAGTGTATTTGTTGCTCTTGTCGTTATTGTATTTGTTCTTGTTCACGTTCAGGTGTAGTTCAGCGTACATAAGGGAAAGGAGAACGTGAATAAGTCTCCATGGCGCAGTGGTAACGCATTCGCCCCGCGCTTCGCAAGCGATTTGGCCTAGGTTCGTATCCTGGCCGGGGAGGATTGACTGGGCGCTAATCCTTAACTGTGCGCCTCTGTTCACCCAGCAGTAATTGGGTGCCTGGTTGTTTAACGGTTGGCTGGTGGTATTCTAAGGGAAACTAGTGAGTAAAGTTTACCATGAGTTAGGGGGAAGTTTCCAGCCCAAAGGGAGCTGGCGGCTGAGAGGACGGAACACTGGACACGTAAGCCTGTGGTCCCGAGTTCGATCCCGGGCGCCGGCGAGAAACAATGGGTAGAGTTTCTTTCACCCTAATGCCCCTGTAACCTAGCAGTAAATAGGTACCTGGGAGTTAGTCATCTGTCACGGGCTGCTTCCTGGGGGTGGAGGCCTGGTCGAGGACCGGGCCGCGGGGACACTAAGCCCCGAAATGATCTCAAGATAACCTGCTGACAGGACTCAGCATTCGTCAGTTCCTGTACTCATCTGTGTACAAAACCAAGCCACACTGGGGCAGAGAAATGTTAACAACGTATAAAGTATTGTCAGAGTAAACAGGAGATAGAGCAAGCGAGAGGGTGAAGAGATGGAGGCAAATGTCATACTGGATTGAAATGTAAATTTGGTGGACTTCAGAGGTCAGAAACCTGTATATCAGTCCTCTGAATGTCAAGAGGCGGGACACAAGTTAGGGGGGGGGGACATGATCACCACATTCAAGATTCTGAAGGGAATTGATAGGGTAGATAAAGACAGGCTATTTAACACAAGGGACACACGCACAAGGGGACACAGGTGGAAACTGAGAGCCCAAATGAGCCACAGAGATATTAGAAAGAACTTTTTAGTGTCAGAGTGGTTGACAAATGGAATGCATTAAATTAGGAAGTGATGTGGTGGAGGCTGACTCCATACACAGTTTCAAGTGTAGATATGATAGAGCCCAATAGGCTCAGGAACCTGTACACATGTTGATTGACAGTTGAGAGGCGGGACCAGAGCCAGAGCTCAACCCCCGCAAACACAACTAGGTGAGTACAAGTAGCTCAGATCCAGCTCAGGTTCACCTAGATGAGTATTCGGTCCACGTGGCGAAGTGGTGACACATCCGCCTTGCGTTTCGCAAGCCATTTGGCCTGGGTTCGTATCCCGGGGAGGATTGACTTGGCGCCAATCCTTAGCTGTAAGCCTCTGTTCACCCAGCAGTAAAATAGGCACCTGGTTGTTAAAAGATTTGGCGGGTCGTATTCTGGGGAACTTAGGATTAAGGACCTGCCCTAAACGCTACGCGTGCTGGTGACTGTACAAGAATGTAACAACTATTGTATATATATAAATAAAATGTAAAATAAAATACATCAGTACTCACCATCCACACCCCGTGACCACTGGACCCTCCACAACACTCACCATCCTCACCATCCGGGCGCCTGTACGGACTCTGAAAACTTAACATTGACCAATAAGACTTAGGCCCGTTATCCCTGATAACAACAATAAATAGGATTTGACCCAAAGGAAATCACTATTTATTCATTAGGAAAATTGGAACCTCTGCTTAAATTACTGGATGATATCTATAGGCGAATGGGTGTTGTTTAATGCTATTGTTATAGAGGATGGTTATCTCGTCATACTGGATGGTTATCTTGTTATAGAGGATGGTTAGCTCGTCATACTGGATGGTTATCTTGTCATACTGGATGGTTATCTTGTCATAAAGGATGGTTATCTTGTTATAGAGGATGGTTATCTTGTCATAAAGGATGGTTATCTTGTTATAGAGGATGGTTATCTTGTTATAGAGGATGGTTAATTAGCTCGTCATACTGGATGGTTATCTTGTCATAGAGGATACTTATCTTGTCATAGAGAATGGTTATCTTGTCATAGAGGATGGTTATCTTGTCATAAAGGATGGTTATCTTGTTATAGAGGATGGTTATCTTGTCATAGAGGATGGTGCTCAACCATTTCCATCCGACCCGGGTCAAACTCCAAATATGTGCAACGAGCCAGAATTCGGCTCGAAATTAATAATCATGAGTCAAATTTCCACTATACCTGATATTTTGAAAACTGCAGGGGGGTTTGGGCAAAATGTGACTCATCGCTGTTTTCAGTAATTGGCATATTTTCGGTATAAAAAGTCGTAATTTCAAACTCTAAATATGTGCAATGAGCCAGAATTCGGCTCGAAAATAACCCTCATAAGTCAGATTTCCGATATTTCTGATATTTTGAAAACTGCAGAAGGATTTGGGCAAAATGTGACCCATCGCCATTTTCAGTAATTGGCATATTTTCGGTATAAAAAGTCGTAATTTCAAAGTTCACATATGTGCAATGAGCCAGAATTCAGCTCGAAATTAACGTTCATGAGTCAGATGTCCGATATTTCTTATATATTGAAAACTGCAGGAGGGTTTGGGCAAAATGCGACCCATTGCCGTTTTCAGTAATTGGCATATTTTCCGTATAAATAATCGAAATTTCAAAGTTCACATATGTGCAATGAGCCAGAATTCGGCTCGAAAATAATTCTCATGAGTCAGATTTCCGATATATCTCATATTTTGAAAACTGCAGGGGGGTTTGGGCAAAATGTGACCCATTGCTGTTTTCAGTAATTGGCATATTTTTTTCAGTAATTGCCGATTTTTTCTGGATTGGTATTTTTTTGCGTGTACTAGATCAGATATCACACTGGGGTTACTTTGTTGTGTATTTTACTCTACTCCTTCTAAGACTGGTGCTGGCTGTTACTTAAGCATTCCTTCGAACTGTTTCTTATCTTGAGATGATTTTGGGGCTTTAGTGTCCCAGCGGCCCGGTCCTCGATCAGGCCTCCACCCTCAGGAAGCAGCCCGTGACAGCTGACTAACACCCAGGTACCTATTTTACTGCTAGGTAACAGGGGCATAGGGTGAAAGAAACTCTGCCCATTGTTTCTCGCCGGCGCCCGGGACCACAGGATCACAAGTCCAGTGTGCTGTCTGCTCGGCCGACCAGCTTCTTCTCTGGTTGGAGATTCCAAGAGGAAATGGTTTCACTTGGCACATTAGGTATACATGTAGGACTAACTTGACATATTAGATGTAACATAATACAAGTAGGAGCCCTTGATTGTTTTAAGCATAGGTTAAACATATATATATGAACAAGATTGGGTGGTTATAGATAGGAGCTGCCTCGTATGGGCTAATAGGCCTTCTGCAGTTACCTTCATTCTTATGTTGTTGCGTACATGTTGGAGTAAATTGGCAAATTAGGTGTACACATAAGCAGGACCAGTGCCAGAGTACTTTGCATCCTAGGCAACGAAAACTACTCATAGTAGCAAAAAAAAAAAAAAAAACCAACTTCAATTAAAAAAAACAGACATTTTGTACAACAAATTATAAGCACAAAACTTGAAAATGCAAAATTTAGTTTAAGTTGCAAGAATAAATAATACATCAATCTTTGATTATCTTTCTCAAATACAAAAGAAAATTTGTATAAAACTGTGATCCTCGAAGGTCAGTATTGTGCATCCCTCTCAGTTCTGCACCCTTGGTGGATGCCTAGTTGTCCTAATGGTGGCCCCTCTCTTCCTGCTTGAAGGTTTCACTTAGCATATTGTATGGAGAGATGTCAACCTCCCCTGGCAAACTGGATGTATTGCGACAAAAAGCAAACCTACACAAATTAAATGAACAAATCCACAAGGGGCCGTGACGAGGATATGAACCTACGTCCACGAGCATCCCAGACGCTGCCTTAACTGACCGAGCCATTGAATCCTCGTCACGGCCCTTGTGGATTTGTTTATTTGATGCATCACGTTATTGTGATTTCTGTGTGCTACATAAATTGTGTGTGGGACTACAATATCTTGCTGTATATTGATACTCTACTACTCTAGGTACGTCACAACTTGATAAGGGTTCAAGACGGACCAAAATGTTATCAGTATGCAGGCGATGAGTCACAATAACGTGGCTAAAGTATGTTGACCAGACCACACACTAGAAGGTGAAGGGACGACGACGTTTTGGTCCGTCCTGGACCATTCTCAAGTCGATTGTGAGAATGGTCCACAATCGACTTGAGAATGGTCCAGGACGGACCGAAACGTCGTCGTCCCTTCACCTTCTAGTGTGTGGTCTGGTCAACAAAATGTTATCACTTTCATTTCATGTCACATGGGTTGTTTATTACAATGGGATTGATCCAATCCATTTGATATGATATCCAAAATATGCATAATAATGATAATGCTCAAAGCAATCAGCCTTTTGTTATAGTCCGAGTTCAGTGTACAATAAGGTAAGTACTGTATAAGGTCAAGATCATGTACAACAAGGTACTGTATAAGGTTAAGATCATGAACAAGGTACTGTATGAGGCTAAGATCATGAACAACAAGGTACTGTATAAGGTTAAGATCGTGTTCAGTTTCTTAGGGGCATATGATGGTACTAAAACCAAATATCTTAATATCCATATTATATTAACAAAACCAATATTTACAACACTGTTGTAGCATTTGTGTAACTTCCTATCAATAAAGAGGGCACCCTCTCAGAACCCCAATCATCCAAAAACAATAAAAATACATTCAAAATAAGATAATTTATACAATAACTGAACTCAACCACTTGCCAATAAGCTGCCAATCAATATACTGTAGATGCACAATTATAATAATTGTATTGTACTGCATAATGAGGTTCTGTGAATTTTGTGATACAATTAAAATTATACAATACATAAAAAATATGTAAAAATGCAAACTATTTGTATTAGATGTCATTAAAAATGCTAAAATGATTTACTGTACTCTAGTTCATACAGAAAAGCATTGTATAAAAATCTAAAATTAATTTATAAATACACCTGTCTCGAGCAGTGAAGACGATCAAACAGTATAAAGGTACAAAGGGAGAGCAAATTCAGCTTAACAGAGCAAAAGTCTACATAATTTATAGGCCAAAAATAAAAGACCAATATCAAGCATCACTAATATTATTCCAATAATGAACTCAAGAAAAAGACTCAAAGTTTGTCTTTGGGGGTTAAGTCCCACTATTCTTAACATAAGCAACATAAATAACTGTCCAAATAAGGAAAAACTTGTACATATCAGCAAAAGGAATCAATAACCGAAACCAGTTGAAAACATGCTCGACAACCAAAAATTTTGTGTTACGTCTTATAAATCATTTAATATTGCTAATTATGTGAGAAAACCCCTAGCATAAAGTGAGACTACATTTTGAAAGATTTTGCAAATAGTGCAGCAATTGCTTGAGTCTTATTGCCATTCTGTCGTCTCAATTCTTCGACGGCTTGAATTCTAGTAAATCCTATTTGTATAATTTCCTGGACATCAGATTCAGAAAAATGATCATGCTCAGATGCGGTATCCATTCCTGAAGCCCCAGATGCAGCAACAGCCTTGGGAGGTGCTGCGGAGGAACTGGGAAACTCTTGCCCTTGTGCTGTTGAGTAGAAACAGTTATGAAGTTAAAATAATGGCAAGAAAAAGTGTTAAACTTTCATTCCTTGCCAACAATCTCTCATCTCGGAAATGATTCCTTTCTACTGTACAGTACTTCAATTACATCCTGGCATAATTACTGTGTCAAGTCTTATTTTCACAACTTCATACAACTTCAGTCATACACGTCATAATTGCACACTATTCGAATCACACAGCTTTCACCATTTCTCATCATTTTCAATCACACCCTGACTGAATGTCTTAATTCTTATAAAATATTATTGTACGGCACTTGTGACTATTTCTGACTTCTCAGTCATTATCAACATACCATGCTTACATTAGGTGAGAAACAAAATGCAACATCGTGTTGCCACACTCAAATTCCTGACTTCGGCTCTCTATCGTACATACCGTATAAAAGCCATATATAACATTACATTGCCACTAATACTGTCCTCTACAAAATTTAGAAGCTCTTGTACCATGCTTACATTATTTGCTCACCTGTCTTAATTTACAACTGTAAACATGGAAGGGTTGTTAACTCTTAAAATACAACATGAGATTCAAGACTACTATACATCTGGGATCTATAGTTACAACACATACAGTACTATAATCAGAAAATTACTGCACTACTGTATCACACTGGCAAAATCATAAGCACATACATGTTCCCGAGGCTGAAGGTCCGGTACCAACACCAGTGCCTTCTCTTGCACTTGCTGCTAATGCCTCGGCAAGAGCGCGGTCTTCCGATTCCTTGGCTGCTCTCTCGGACTGGCGTCGGACCTCCTCTTCGCTGAGTGGTGTAAGGCGAGCACAGTCAGGTAGCTCACTCTCGCTCAAGAAAGTTGTGGCTGTTCCAGTAGTGCCAATATGCAGTTTATTGTTCTTTAGGTCAATACACATCTATCAAGAACAAAGATGGCATTTGTGATTTGTGCATTTAACAGATTTACTAAACAATATTTTACCTTTAATGAACACCTGTTTTGAGAAACTCTTAACTGTATTTGATGGAAAACAATGACAATTAGGATGAATGAATGAAATTTGGTCTAAAGAATATAAACAAAAGTTATAGATCCATCTCACGAAGACTTAGGGGAGGTATCCATGACTCTATCACAGCATATCTCAAAATAAAAGAATTTAAGAACAATTTTGATCACAAGGCCACAGTTGCTCCAGGCTGCATAACCTGCTGAAGTTATCTGCCAACAGTGTAAATATATCAGCCACAATCTTTAGTGGCTGAAGTAGGAATAGGAAGCTGGGAGATTGTGCAAGACCTCACATTCTTCCTGACGAGATTCTCTAGCTATATTTTCAACAAATCTAGCGGGTATGAGGTTCTACAAGTTCATTACCCTATGGATGACAAAGTATCTCCTATTGTAGTTTGAAACTGTTGGCTCTTTCAAGCCAGCCAGTCAGCTGAGGTTAGGAAGGGAGGGAAGGAAGAGAAGAAAGGATGAAGTTGGGAGAAAAGAGAGGGAAGGAAGAGAAGAAAGGGTGAAGTTGGGAGAAAAGAGAAGGAAGGATAGAGCTGGAAGGGAAGAAAGGGTGGGAATTGAGAGAGAAGTAGGAGGCAGATCAGAAGGGAAGGAGGTGCTGAGCTGGCAGAAAGGGAAGGTAGAGTCTGATGGTAGGGAGTGACGGAAGTGCCAGTCGGTCGACTGTCACATCATGTGTAAATGTTGCCAGATGCCCAGCCAGCCAACCCACCTACCCACTCGCCTATATTAAAACAATTATAAAAGCACTAACCAGAGGTTAACCAAGATTTCACATCAAATATTGATGTGTGTCAGTACTCCTTATACCACCGGCCTTTACATATGTTTAATCACTAAATTTGTCCCTCTTATTTTAAGCCAGCTAGTTTATTGTGTACCATTTTTACACTGTATTGTGTCAATAAGAATTTATTTTACAACACAGTACTGTATAGCATTTATTAATTTTAAAGTACTGTATGTACAAAATTCTTCAGCCTGGAATGCATTGTTTTCCCACATGATCTGAAACTAAATATTATATAGGAAAGTTAGACAATGAATGGATCTCCGGGCAGCCCATTCTCCTGATCGTTCCCAGTGCCACTAAACTGTACTAAATTGCCCGAACCTAACCTACCCGATAACCCACGAACAAAAAACAGGACACCGCGTCAATTTGTGAGCCACTATCATTTTTAGTACCTCGGTTTTTGGCCTTAGGAAAATTACAGGTCAAAATGCGATGTACTATTCAGGAGAACGGGTTACTTCAGGAACATAACCCAGTGCAAAACTTGGAGTAGTAGTAGTAGGCATCCATCAGTCTCAGGAGACTATGGAGTTGCACTCTAGTTGTGCTCTCCAAGGCACAAAGCCAGGGTAGGTTGATACGGGGGGAGAAGCTATCACCCATGCAGTAGGTACCCCCTTCTCCATGGCGTCTAAGTCTCCAATGGAAAGGCAAGCACCAATGCGATATGTTCCATCGCCATCGTAGGAACTGTCAGAACGAGGTTGAAGGCAACAACAAACTGTCCTATTGGCTCCAGCTCTAGAGTTTACCTCGAAGTTGGTAAAAAAAGCCACAGGGACTCCAAACCCAGAGACCGCTGTGGTCGGGCCGGAGAAGAACTCCCCCAGCAAGGGCAGGAACGACCTCAGTGTACTTGGAGTGCACTGCTAGTATTGTATGTCTTATATGATAAAGAAGAAAATAGTATCAGTGTTCATAAATAATCCTACTCACTTGGTGTCTCTTTAGCATGTCAAGTCCAAGAAGCATATCCATTGGTTGCTCTTCAAGTATGCTGAAGGATGATGCTAGAAAATCCCTCTCAATCTGTATTTGGCCCATATGAACACGACCAATGATCTTCTGTGTGCCAACACCCTTGGCAATGCCTGCCCACCGGGTGTCAACAAGACGCATTATATTGCACCTCTCCGCACAGGCTTGCGACATGATGGTCGTCTGTGCACCTGTAGTGGAAAATCATAATTATGTGACAATCACTGAAAGGTATTCATATAAAAATTTAGATATTAAGCATTGCATAATTTGAATTACTGTATAATACATAATAAGTTCCATGACCAAAACAGCAAAAATAATTTGCTAACCAACCTGAGTCAATGAAAGCCTTGACGTCGTGTCCGTTGACTTTACAATTTATGTAGAGCATGTGCACTGTGCCAAAACTTTCAGGGTTGTATTCCATAGCTGCTTCCATGTTGGCATTGATATTCTGGGGAAGGAATGCAATCTTCAGATAGATTTGAAACTCTACTTCCTAACGCAATCAAACACTGAACGTAACCAAACGCCCTTTCCTGGATGCCCTTCAGTATCTCCCTGAGCTATGAGATGATCCTGCCAGGCCTTGGGAGCATGCACCAGGTCCCTGAGCCCCACCTTTGCTTACTGGGAACCAGGAATATTGAAAATTTACTCACAGTATTTTGCTTGTTAATGCAAATACCAAATAACCATTCATGTTTCTTTTCATTGTCTAAATAATTAGCTGTAAAATTTGTTGAATGTTTTGCTTTACTAACATGTCATGCACGATACAACACATATTACTGTACTTCATAATCCCCTATATACATTATATTGAACAAATTAATGCAAGAGAATCACAAGATAGTGAAATGTCAAAATAAATCTGTTAAAATGTATTTTAACAAAGATATGACCATAACAAAATTGAGCAATGAATTGTGATTCTTTGATAAATTTTTGAGGCTGGGGTAAGCAAACATCACAGGAGTACTAATGAAGTTCAGACACCTAAATTCAATGAATTTTAGATATCCCTATTTCTGCCCTCTTGTTAACAAATTAAACCATTTCATTTCAAATCACTTACCTCCTGCTGTATCTCATTGGCTATGAGACGCTGAGCCTCCATGTCAAATGGATCGGCAGTCAACAGTCGAATTCTTTGCTGCTCTCTATCTCGTCGGATCTCTTGTTGTTCCCGGAGTACAGATGCAAATTTTTCTGCCATACAAATTCACCAAAGGTAAAAGTACTTCCAATATAAAAGTTTATATATAGAGGATGCAAAAATTTATGAAGGCATTTAAAAATGTGGAAGAAGTATATTTACAGTATATTAATATAAAACTTAAGAAATAGAGCACACTCAAAATGCTTTACATGATAGTGCCTTTATTATATACAAAACATCTGTGTCTACAAATTAACCACTTTAACCCCTGCACTGTGCACCTGTTTTTGGCAAACGTTCAACATATATTTGTTGTCTTTATAAATGTTTATCAAATGTTAATGTCAAAATGTTTCCAAATGCTACCATTTTAATTTAAAATCACAAAGAATGTTGAAAATATTAAAATATGGCCTAATTAAAAATAATTGCACAACCCTCAGAGTGCCTTAAGATGCTTTGCATAGTTAAATTGTTAATAAGTTATGTACATTTATAATAAAATTATTATTATTATTATTATAGTCTATGAAATAAATTCAAATTGAGAAGGAAATGAGTGAATGTGGCAGAGTGTAAACTCATAACGATAAAATATTCAGACTAAAAAAACACAAGCTCTGTGAAATGTGATATTATTGAAACCCTGGGGGCAGCTTCAACAGCAGTCTCCGTGGCGCAGTGGTAAGACGCTCGCTTGGGATTCCACGAGCGCTCTGTCCTGGGTTCGTATCCTGGCCGGGAAGGATTTAACACAAATTCTTAACTGTAGCCTCTGTTTAACTCAACAGTAAAATGGGTACCTGATTGTTAAACGATTCTTTGCGGGGGTCGTATTCCGGGGAACTTAGGATTAATTACTTGCCCGAAACACTACACGTACTAGTGGGTGTACAAGAATGTGACAACTCTTATATATATAAAAAAAAAAAAAAAGGAAGAGGTCCCTACAAATACTAATTGAAGGGACCCTTGGCTTCAAAGAAGACGATATACAGCATCCAGGGATGCTACATATCATTTATGCTAACAGAATACTGTATATATACTATACAGAATGTAATATATACATTCTACAGTACAGTATATTCATTATATTTGTTAATACCTATCATATCAAAGATATTATGAAAAACTCAAGAGATGTCACAAATAATATAGGACAATGTAACAGCAGAACTTTAATGGCATTATGGCCATTAAAGACACACACTGTTGCATTAGGAATTAAGATTCATATAAGCTTCCTAAGTAAAGATGGACTGCGTCGACACAGTAAAATACAAAAATACAAATATTTATTCAGGTAAAGTACATACATACAAGGTGAAATACAAAAGCTGATGGATTCATAGATAGAACTAGTACATACAATGCCTAAAGCCACTATTATGCAAAGTGTTTCGGGCAGTACTGTAATGAGGACATGTATACTGCTTAATGATTTTGTTTTTAAGGACAAATTTACTATTAAGAGTGCATATCTGAGTAAAACCAAAACAAGTTGTAATAATAAATTATAGACACTAAAAACCCTCAGAATAGCTTCTCGGTGAATATCAAAAGTGCTCGAGGCATGAGGACAACGAGATGAATATTGTATGAAGTCCTCAGCCGAATACTTCAGATTTGGCTAAAATTCATCCTGGGAAGTACGGGCTTGTAAAAAAACAAAAAAAACATGCTGGTATCAAAGTACTGTACTGTAACGACTTCTAATATTTGAAACATTAGAGGAAACAAATCGTGAAGCTGCATAAACAACAGTTCAACTTACCCAAGTCACCACTGGTAAGGGCTTCCGCTAGCTTGGGGTTGTTGTGGCGAAGCAGAGCCAGTTGCTCAGGGTTGGCCATCAGCATGTCTCTTATCACTGCTGGGTCATCTTCACCTCCTAGTTATGCAAAAAAAAAAAAAAATGGCTCCAGATTGCATAGAAAAATATAGTATGCACTATTTTGATGCAAAATTTTTAATTATATTTTTACTATGCAGACAAACTTATGGTAAAACAATAAATAAGTGCATATGGTAATGAAACAAATACTGTACATAATAGTCATCTTAAAACAAACATTTCATTGAATTTACAATACAGTACTGTATGTACTGTGTATCTTTTCAGCATTTATTCAAGAACCTACTGCAGTTCCTCTTACCTTTAATGTATGTTAGAAGAAATTAAGCCACTACAGTAACTCATATGCTATCTTTAATGCACACTAATTACTGGTAATAGAGCTGAAGACATCAACTCCTATTCATATGTGTTAACATCAATGTCCTCTCATGTTACTGTATTACCCAAATATGGTACAATATTTTTAATTAAGCCTTACCGTTGAAATGTATTCTCTCTCTACTGCAACTAATGTAAGTATTGGCTAGTTAATAACTATTTAAGTACCAACTATAATCACTAAGAAATAAACAAAACTCCAAATCATGTTACATCCGCTGCCTTCTAGGAACCAAAACTGGAACCTAGCTCACTCTACGAGATGTAGAGGAGCAGGGAAACAGAGATCAACCACAAAACTGGGGAAAACACAGCAGAAAGCACAGACACAATAAAATGCGACTGCATGAAGAAAATTAAGAACTTCTAGGTAAACAAAGCAAACAACCAGGCTGTGACTCATATGTCGCAGCGGCATCGAACAGCCTGGTTAATCAAACCAGCAACGAGAGGCCTGATTAGAGACTGGCCTGTGAGGATGTTGTTCCTCGGAATCAACAACAGGTAGTCAACAGGAACAGATAGGTGTGGGGTAAATACCCTATCTGTGAAGAGTTTGGCCACCACCAGATGGCAGCTCAGGTCACCTGGGCTCTTGGCCAGCCAGCCTTTCACAGTTTTGAGACCTATGCAAAACCCCACAAATTCAGGGCAGGGATGGAAAGGTACTGGAGGCCTACCAGCAAATGGCTTTTCATTACATTCGATGCTTGATTTTAGGGAAGAAGCCAAAATTAGCAGAGGTAGGTCAGAATATGAATCCTCTGAAGATGAAAACATTGGAGAACCATGCAAGCAGCCATGGAAAGATTTTGAGGTCATAAGAAAACCAAATGGCAGAGCCCAAAAATTTTGCAAGTGGTGCTCTTTGCTGAACCCTAACCAAGCCCTTAACTCTGAAAGAAAAGGGGCACACCAATAGGTATCCTGGAGATCCAAGCAAACAAGACTAAATCTGATGTGTTTACCTGGAGAAGGTTTCGGAAGTTCTTTTACTCCCCAAGCCTGGCCTGAGGACAGGCTCGACTACAACCAACCAAAACCTTACAGCAACCCAAAAATATTCCAAAACCCATATTCCTCCAAAATCTAGATCAAGTCTAGGATGATTAACCTCAAAATGCATGCAACGTATTGTATTCTAGAGCAATGTATTTAATGCAATCCAATTATTAAATAACAATTTGCATTTAGCGTCAATGTCTGAATGTGATCGGAACCAATATTGGAAAAAATATGGTTCCAATAGCCCAATGGTGTCTCCCAGTAGTTCTGGGAAGCCACAAAATAAAGTGAAGTCAAATGAACTTGAGCTCCTGGTCCTTTATCGTTATATGTTGATAACAGCACATGGCTGCGAGCATCCACATCGAAAAACCTGGTTGATCAGACCAGCAACCAGGAGGCCTGGTCAGAGACCGGGCCATGAGGATGTTGATCCTCGGTATCATCAACAGCTACCTGATCCAATATCCAATCTTCACTATTTACAGTACAGTATACTGAATTTATTTTGGCATTTCATCTGAAAAATAACAAAAAAGTTCCTTTTTTTTCTCCTTGGCTCTCATCACAAAAGGAATGCTGCTGAATGCCAGAATAAACATTGACCACTGTCAAGGTCAAAATTTGGGTAGCGATATAATTTTTGGTGTATATTACACACTTTTTAATACAGATCTACTACATACGTCAATCAAGTAAAAGAATTTTGGGAGGCATACATGCAGGGCGACAACTTTGATAACAGCCACACTCTGGGGGGTTAATCCCAACTTTTAGAGATGCAACTATGATAAAAATGTTGACAATACAGTCAGAAATAAAAAGTTATAATTTGGATCAAGCAATCCTTAGTCATAAGCCACCTACAGCCAATCTACATATACATAATTAAGCTCTTACAGGGCTAGTCAAAACTGCATGTAGGAGAATTTACACAACAAAAGCGAAGGACTGATTAATACAGCATTATTCAAAACGTGCAACAAAGATGATGTCTCAAAAGTCAATACAAAGGAATTTTAACTGGTGTAAAATGTGCTTTAATGATGTACAGTGTTGCACATCATCATCTTATCCTGCAATGCTTAAAAGAAGTGTCGAGTAAAGTGAAATACCTTTTTCTGGGCAGCACACCAATAGCTTTCCTGAGCTTATTGCACTTGTACCTTAGGGTAACCCCCAAATATCACTTTCCTGAGACTTTACTGGCTCTGAGTGGGGCCAAGATTGTCCCAATATCTTGTCCCCTAAAGTGTACGGGTGAGTATGTGCAGATCAAAAATCCTGCCAAAAAACATTGAAATGTCACAAAACAATCTGCATCTTCATGAAAGAAGAGTAGGCAAGAGAGTTGGCGCATGTGTAGCGTGGCTGTCCCAGCTATCTTTCGGAATGTCTGACTTTACCAGTCTTTTCACATAGAGATGTTGCTTGCTATGTAATGCTTGTCAGCTATCTGGGCAGTTCACCTTGGCAGTGGGTTACTCTTTGCTTAACACATACTTTTTCACCCATTTTAGGGGGGGGGGAAAGATATTGGTTCTTATTTCCAGTGGATGGAGAACATCTCAGGAGCCTCCTGACACTTGGGATGGCCTTGAGGTGTTAGTGCAGTAAGCTCTGGCTTCTTAAAGACTTGCTACCTCCCATTAATTTTATACTAATAGTACACAATAGTGCTAAGAGTCCAGTTATCAATTCCTAGTGTGTACTTTGAGTCATCGAGAGGATGCCACGCTGACACATCATTCCCACCTGTGTTCCCCAAGCCCAAGTCCCCATCATCACCCAGCTGTTCTTCCACACCCTCCTGACCTGCCACTTGGCCTTGAACATTATTTGATGGGGTCTGACCCACAGATGCCGAAGATGAGCTGCTCCGACGGGTACCAGGAAGTTGAATTCCACTGAAGTCAATCTGGCCAATTTCTGTTTCAAGTGAAATACAGGGTACAACAGATAAGCAATTATGCTTTTAAGTACCAGATATAAATAAATTACACTACATTTGTTAAGTTTATGAGAAAGGAATCATTAAAAAAAATTAGTCCAAGTGTTGAATGTAATGAGATACCTCTTTCTGGTGGGGTCCTCTGGTGCTCCCTGAATTTCCCATTTGGTAAGCTTCAAACTTTGTATACTACACAAGACTCCAAGATTCACGAGCACCTCCCAGAAGCAGTACAGTACTAGAATCTGGCACCTCATTAGGGGCAAGGGAAGTATGGGGGTACCAGATCACCTCACTAATGCAAAGTCAAAACCACTAGAAAGGTAGGGCACAACAAAACAAGCAACTGCATGGACAGTACCCATCCACTTGGGCTGGACGGTAGAGCGACGGTCTCACTTCATGCAGATCGGCATTCAATCCCCGACCTTCCAAGTGGTTGGGCACCATTCCTTCCCCTCCCTGCCCCATTCCAAATCCTTATCCTGACCCTTTCCCAGTGCTATATAGTCATAATGACTTGGCGCTTCTCCTGATAATTCCTTTCCTTTCCTGCATAGACAGTATTGGTATCCCCGACACAAACATGCACACGTTTATTAGTGACAAGTGACCACTAGTTAGCAACACTTGCTAGTCACCAGATGGCCGCCTGAGGGTTAGGGTAACGTTTCTCGAGTCTACACAATAAAGAAAGTCATCAATGTTTTCGGCAGTCTTAACAGAAAGTTTTATCCCATTTGATGTAATGGAATACCCCCTTTCCTGGCGTAGCCATTAATAGCTTTCCGAGCCAAGTGCTAGTCCAGCTAAATCGTAAGAAGATGTACCAGGCGTCTAAGACCCACCTTTGCCTACTGGGCAATAAGATCAGAGCCTGGCTCTCTCTATGAGGCAAGCAGAACATGTAGATCAAAGATTAACCCAAAACTGAGAAAGAAACTGACTAGAAAGCATAAGCACAACTTAACAAGTAGCTGCTTGAGGAAAATTAGATATCTAAAAATATTGAGGCAACTGATCATTTCCATGGGGTAAACACCTTAACTGTACCTGACCACCACCAAGATCACCAATGAACTTCTGTCAAACAATCACAGACAAGCCACTATTTCACTATCTCCTGGAATGTGAAGCAACCAATGACCTTATTAGAGCTTTAAGAGTCCCTGAATCTTGCAGTAACCATCCTGAAGCCATCAACACTGCAATTCTCCTGGTCAAGAAAGGTATGGACAGCTTCATACTGTCAAGCAGTATCCTTCCCCACGATAACCGCCACAGAAGTAAGGACTGACAATTTAAATGTGAGCTCAGTACACAATATATCCTTTCATGACCAAAGATCACATTCACTCCAAAAAATCTACCACTTACAGGCTATTCATGCCTGTGCTACCTCTTGGGTGGCTTAATCTTCATCAATCACCAAGGGACCCTGCCAGTCTGCTCCCTTACTCATGAGAAAAAAGGGAATGGGACGAGGACAGGGAGCTACTGAGAACCCCACCATTAGTTCCCTAAGCTAACTCACGATGGTGCCTCAGCAAGGAAGACTTAACATTTTTTAAAAAGAATATACTGTACCAATAAACAGAAAAATGCAACCAGGAATTACCTATTGGAGAAAACAGCAGAAGAAGGGAGCTTGGGAGAAGAACTTTAGGTGTGCACCAGACACACAAGTGCAACACAAGCATTACGAGCCCAAAGCCATCTAATAAATAGCACGAATCCAAAGCCCTATTGGATCCAGCTCATCAAAGCTCCTTACTATAAAAGTACAAATAAAAGAAATGGAAACATCTCTCATGAGATTTCCCCTGCAAAAGGAGGCGAGAAGACTTAAGGCACAGCATCACATGCTCAGGAAACCAGTCATAATCCATGAGGCCTTTGACAGAACCTTCAGCACCTCGTCATGAGGGAACAGAAGGGCGAAGAAAGGGGAAAGTGCAAGTGACACATGATCCATGTAAACTCCACACACACTAGCTATAAACCACATGGCTGCATGTCACAGTTGTAGTCAACACACCTGACAAATGACATGATTCACGTAAACTCCACACACTTGCTATGAACTACATGGTTTCATGTCACAGCTGTAGTCGGCACACCTGACAAATTGCACTGAACCAGCCCGGTAAACTCTTACCTGAAACTGGGTGCAGAAGAGCTTCCAACGTGCAAGGAATCTAAGGACACCAGATAGAAGAGAACGACCTCTCAAATTTAACGAAGGGAGATTCTATAGTAAAAGGGAAACTTGGACATGCAGCCATCCATTACACCTGAGAATTCTCAATGTTTTCTTTACAAGGGTCACACAAATATTGGGGAACCTTATTCTCAAAAATCAAAATAATGTACAGTATAAGCAAACTTCTGCCATTTCCCCAGTGAAAATAATGCAGTGCTTACTAGCCAGATAGAAAAATACAACTGAGACTTTAACATAAAGGAGTCAAATCCAGGTTAAATCCATGCTCCTCGGGAAGAATTATTTAAAGCACTGTATAGCCGAACCCAAGTAGCAGTAAGGCAACACCACAGAAGAAAATTACAAAGCAAACCCTAAGTGGAACGGAGGAGGTTATGACTACATAATAATTAAGAAGGTACAAAAGTCTCCATCTGAAAAACAAATCATCTAGTTTGGAGACTTAAGACAAGTATGGTTAAAGATGCATGAGGATGAATCCTCATCCAACATCTCAAATGAAGCCAAATCTTCTACAAAGGTAGAGTAATGGCATACTCTTGAATCCCATGGGGTAACCAAAGAATTCCCAAAAGCTTAAATCCAGAAACAAAATGAGGCTCTGTAGCTTCCCAGAGTGCTTGCAAGGCAGGGAAGGAGCCTCAAAGCTCTTGAGTTTCTTAGAGTTATCTTGAGATGATTTCGGGGCTTTTTAGTGTCCCCGCGGCCTGGTCCTCGACCAGGCCTCCACCCCCAGGATGCAGCCCGTGACAGCTGACTAACACCCAGGTACCTATTTTACAGCTAGGTAACAGGGCCATAGGGTGAAAGAAACTCTGCCCATTGTTTCTCGCCGGCACCTGGGATCGAACCCAGGACCACAGGATCACAAGTCCAGCGTGCTGTCCGCTCGGCCGACCGGCTCTGCATACCCTCACAGAATAAAATAGGTATATAATCACCACCATCTGCTTGAGAGAACTAAAACCTTATAGGACTTGATGCTGGAAGGGAAGGATGGGAAACTGAGCACTTATTAACAGACAATGTTTATTGAAGCTAAAAAAACAAAGCACAAGTCAAGACAACCAAATGATTCAAATACAGTATCCCCAAAATAACAAGCACTGAATGTAATGAAATGCTTCTTTCTATTGGGGGCCCCCATCTGTAATTTCCTGTTCCTGCCCTTCCCATCTTTCCATGGTTCTCAGGGTTCATTTTGACAGGCACATATCTGACGGAGGCCCTGATTCACCAGGCTTGCCATCTGGTAGCAAGCGAGCGCAGTTAACTAGCAGTTGGCACTGAACAACTACTATGTACAAAGTCTGTATCAGAGTTATCAATGTTTTCCATGCAGTTGCACACTTTGGTGTGCTTTACCTTTCTGGTAGCTATTACTTTCAACGTTGGTTGATCTTGTATCCTTGGACTTCCCTTGCCTCTTTTGAGAGGGGCCAGATTCTGGTCTTTGTCCCCTAGTAGGCAAACATGACTCATAAAGACCTGGTGGGGGTGTTTTAGGCTTGGAGCTATCCAGGTGGGTAGTTCAGGAAGCTACAAAAGGAAGCCCTCCAAGAGAAAGGGAATAAATTCAGGAGTCTGTCAAAGATGGAAACTGTGACTGCCAGTGTTGACACTAGAACATATGCACAATGCTCTGTGGTAGCTCATATGCCATGCTGTGAGGTAATGGTCAACAGATCACAAACTCATGAGTGAATGACCCTGAGCACAACAGAAGGAATGAGGCCCATTGATGTGAAGAGGAGATCAAATCAAAGTATGATCTTTTCGGACTTAACAAAGGACATTCTGCTCAGGCAGAGAATGCTACATCTGCAAAGTGTTTGACCCATTTACCTTCTGGACATAAAGAAAGCATTTCAGCCTGGACATAACCCAACCATTTCTATCCTGTCCTGGAATTGAACCCAGGTCCCTCAGTTGTGAACCAAGGATAGAAACTAACATGCTACAAGACCTATCCCTGCAGAGATACCAGTACAGTACCTGAAAATTCCCAGCAGTGCCACACTATATGTTGCCCAGCCCAAATGCAAGATCCGATATCCAAGGAAACTGTGGAATCTTACATGAGGGAACAGCCCAGTGTAAGAACTAAGAAATATAACAATTAAGTCCAAAAGTACCTTAAAATGTGTTCCTAATGTTAAGTTGAAATCAAAGCTAGATAAATCAGAATAAAATTATATACAATATGGTACTGGATTGACACTTTCAACAGCCCTGGTCAAAAGGTGACCTAGTTCTCATGTATATTGAACAGTTTTATATACTGAAGCACCAAATTACAAATAGACTGCTTGAAAACATTTTGCCTGGAATTTATCAAACATAATTTTATAAAACTCTTACAGTGGAATGTTTTCTACAAACAGTCTACTCTCATCTTGGTGTTTCTGTATGATGCTACTGGCACATTGTGTTCTTTTTAAACAAACATGTATACCAAAAGTCAGTACAATAGCCACCAAAAGATATACAAAGGATGAATTGGGCTTCCTAAACCTTAGTGATCTATATTACATGAATGGTGAACAGTGGACGAGGAAGGTGAATTTTTCTTACGAACAATCAATTGCCAACAGTTAATAACACGAAGCACAATCCTCATTGTAGACATTGTCGAATGTTGTGAGACAATGAACTACACTTTAGAACACTTTACAGAACACTACAGAACACTTTACAAAATAAACATAGCAAAAAAACCAAGCTGACATGACACATAACTACAGTATAATAGTTAATGGTACTCTAAAATCACAATTTTCACAACTAATATTACTAGTGCCTTTGTTGCGGAAAGGAAACCTATGTTTCACCGAGATGACTTTTCAACAACTTATCACACATGACTTGATAATGGTCCAGGACAGATCGAAACATTATCGTTTCGTCACTTTCTGATGTGTGGTTTGATCATCATATCTTCAGCCATGTTACTGTGCCTCATCATCTGCATGACTTGTCAAGTGTGAGGGTATGATCTGTAGCATAACACATTCTGAAAAGCAACCAGTATTTAATTTTACACCACCATGCATTGTGTGTTGAGTTGGGAGTCACGTCACCTTCTTCCTTCCCTGGTAATTCAAAGTGGCATAGGTTAGAGATGATTTGTGTCAACCAACAGTAAACAATTGTTATTGACATGCAGGAATATCTTTAGTACAATCTTCTTGCTAGAAAACAGTAGTCCATACAATAGGTGTACAATAGGTTTGTAGAGCAAAATGATCATTTGATTTATTTTCCTTGATTCCAAACATGCATTTGGCAATTCACAGAATTTGGTTTGCTTTTGTGCAGGTGGAGTATTCTCATTTGCTGGACTACAGTCAAGGATTAACACATTATAGTATCCAAGTTTTACCATTTTCTACAGACACCAGGAAAGAACTTGTGCTGTAGATTGTGAAGTCGTCTATTTTGATACATTAAATGCCATTCAAGTCCATTAACTATGTATAGAGATAAAGCCAGATAATTTTTCATTGCAGCTATGTATTTGCATCTTTTACTGTCCATGTAAAATTTTTATTATACTAAAATTTCATAATTTTTTTATAAATGTATAAATATATTTCTTGCATACATGATACTGTACTCTCTTTTAACAGCTCCCTTTGGTGTAAGTCACAGAAATAGTCTTGTATCACCTCCTCAGAGGTACACGCTCATACACTGCCTCTTTCTTGGGGATCTGCCGTGATGAGTCGATCATTAGATCTTTTGGAATTCAGTCTTCAAAGACGCGTATTTTGTTTTGTTTGTCTCGTGTGTTGGTAGGCACCAAGGATGACGTCATGGTGACTACAATGGTGATGACATGAAACTTGACCTACATTTCAAGGATAGTATACCACTGTATGGTATAATGATCACTATTCCATGGTATGATGGAATAGTCATATTTGAGTACATGTGGGCATGAGTTTTTTACCAACTATAAACTTGGTTGATGAATTCCCTCTTCAACTGTCAGGACCAGATCTAAAATGTTGTTATCTCAAATACAAGTAGTCTATGTAAGATCAAGTTTTTGTTTTGTTTTGAGATATAAACAAGAGTTGTTACATTCTTGTACAGCCACTAGTACGCGTAGCGTTTCGGGCAGGTCCCTGGAATACGATCCCCTGCCGCGAAGAATCGTTGTTACAGCCAAGTACACATTTTACTGTTGAGTTAAACAGAGGCTACAGTTAAGGATTTGCGCCCAGTAAATCCTCCCCGGCCAGGATACGAACCCATGACAAAGTACTCACGGAACGCCAGGTGAGTGTCTTACCACTACACCACGGAGACTGTTTAAGTAATTCCTCATCTTTAACTTACAATATGATATATTCTCCCAGTCTACTGCCTTGTGCGTAAAATCTCTATAAGGGCCCAGTGATCAAGTTGGTCGGCAACTTCTGTAGATGTTCTTCTGTTGGTGCTAAGTCAGCTCTGTAGCACACCTGTAGCACATGAATTTGGTTTCATCTTGAGAAACTTGTGCCATAAAGTTTCCGAGTTCCTCACGTTGTTTATGTGCTCATTCCTAGGTACTGACAGGATGTTTGAATTTACAGTAGTACTGTTCCTACTCTTGCAGTTCTGTTACTTCTAAATGATGGGGGGAAAATTCCGAGAGAAAATAAATCAGCAGCATATATGCTCGGCCCCATTACTCAAAAATTCTGATACTACAGTATCAGGGTTTCCTGCATATGCACAAAGTGCCGTACATTTGTTCACAAGGTTTGTGGCATCATGAACAAAAGGCCTTTCAGGTAATGTTCAATACAGCTAAAGAGGAAGATAGAGAAGGTAAGGGAACCTGAGATTTGATCAAATAGGAGTTACTATGGCATGCACATTATTTACATATATATATACAGTATATAATTCCCTGGAGCTACAGTATTACTGGATCATTGGGAAGAGAACTACGTCCTCTCCTCAGTCTATTACCTTGATCAGCTCTCCTCTCCGTATCTTGAGCTATGGAAGAAGATAAAGAAAATTAAATAATATTACTTCTCTGGTTTTTTCCTCACCTTAAAAACTGTTGGGCCTATGTTAGAAGAAAGAATAAGGTAGCGACTGAAGTAACTTGAAACATCGCTTCTATATCAGATGGTACCTGAGGTATAGCTGAATTCTCTATATTAAAAGTTAAGCTAGAAGCAATTTATTAAGATTTCAACAATCACGTATCTCTTAATGTGTGTGGCAAATGTTTCATGTATCGTGACCTCCAATTAGCTTTCAGATCTTGCTCTAAATGTGCACCAAGAAATCAATGTATCTACACCATAAGAAATTTATCATAATATTTATTATCTTTTTCACGGATCAACAATACTTAATTAATTTAATATGAACCTTTGGTGTGTTCCTAAACACAAAAATGTAAAGCATTCCCCTTTCCAAAAATGTGGCAAGAACCACAAGAACCCAATTAACTGCTGTACATGTATCTTACAGTATAAACCTACTGCCGTGAGAAAATACATGCGCAAAAGCTTTTGGAGACATTGGTTAGTGTTATACTTACCTCACTTCTTGAGATTAATAAACAATTCTTAATATTCAAATTATGTTTGCAGTTTTGTATTTTCTATACTGTATGTTAGCTTCTTAATTCACTGCTCAACTACTACTTACAACAGTAAAATGTCTTTTTCAAAGTGACATCAATAAAACATATTTCATTGGTAGCCCTGTGATCCTGTGGTCCCGGGTACGATCCCGGGCCCCCGGCGAGAAACAATGGGCAGAGTTTCTTTCACCCTATGCCCCTGTTACGTAGCAGTAAAATAGGTACCTGGGTGTTAGTCAGCTGTCACGGGCTGCTTCCTGGGGGTGGAGGCCTGGTCGAGGACCGGGCCGCGGGGACACTAAAGCCCCGAAATTATCTCAAGATAACCTCAAGAAGATAGCCCAATATACGAGCAAAGTGTAGAAAAAACAACTTGTCCATTACCACTTAAGATATTAGAAACTTGATTCATTCTTTCATCATGATAAAAAGGCAAGAGCAATGAAACGGTAGCCAGCAAAGTACAATAAGTTAAACAATATTTAGTGTTTAACTTACTCAAACCTTAAATCATGATGCAGGGCACAAGTCATAATAATGTGACTGAATCAAATAACCCACTTTTACATATGAAATTAAAATAAAATTATGACATTCTGGTTCACACTAGATCTTTATATAAAGTTGTGATGTATTTTAATTATCATGATGTGAATATATGATGTGAATATATAATATACATGATGTGCATTTCTGCCCGAAACGCTGCGCGTACTAGTGGCTTTACAAGATTGTAATTACCATATTATGTATCCTCACAATCCCCATGTACCTTCTTGTATATGCATAAATAAAATAAATAAATAAATATTATGGCTTGGTCATACTGACCAATGATTTTTCTGGTGCTCTATCCATTCATGGTAGACTACAAACCACCACATGAATAGGAATGACAGAATTCCTGTTTTTTTTTTTTCAAGCAAAGAATGGTTCTTTGCTTGAACCACCAAAGAACGACACCTGATCAAACCCCCCAGAAGGTGAAGGTGTCATGGAAGATGTGAAGGAATGGATGCTAAACTCCAAGGTCCAGAAAGCAACAGTAAACTGGCCATGAAGGAGGAGTAGCCAATCTACAGAGGAACTCGGGCAGGAAGAACAGGACAAACACCAACCTGATAAGGGGGGAAGGGGGGGAATGTTCCTGTTCATTGCTACTACTTATACTCTTCATATTCTACTATACATTATCACATGTTCATAACTTCATTATACCATTAAAACTGATCAAGTTCTATATACAGAACAGTATAGTAATGTACATTGCAATATAACTTTCCCAAACGCCTTAACATATCTCTACTATTATTTTATACTTTTTCTTAAAGCAAACTGCATGTACTATATAGAACAACAAGTTGAATAAAGAGAGTTATTCCAAATTTGTTCCTCCTCCTCCTCCTTCACAACCAATTGAAATATTCAGCTTTTTGCTTTTTTCCTTCATAAACATTTTATGTGCAAGAAGCTATTGTTTCTACCTTAATACCCACCAACACGCTCAGCACCCCTGACGTATGATTGACGCCTGGTTGATCAGATCTCCTTTGGAGGGGTTTATCACGCTCTCTCTTGAACACTGTGAGGGGTCGGCCAGTTATGTCCCTTATGTGTAGTGGAAGCGTGTTGAACAGTCTCGGGCCTCTGATGTTGATAGTTCTCTCTTGAACACTGTGAGGGGTCGGCCAGTTATGCCCCTTATGTGTAGTGGAAGCGTGTTGAACAGTCTCGGGCCTCTGATGTTGATAGTTCTCTCTTGAACACTGTGAGGGGTCGGCCAGTTATGCCCCTTATGTGTAGTGGAAGCGTGTTGAACAGTCTCGGGCCTCTGATGTTGATAGTTCTCTCTTGAACACTGTAAGGGGTTGGCCAGTTATGTCCCTTATGTGTAGTGGAAGTGTGTTGAACAGTCTCGGGCCTCTGATGTTGATAGTTCTCTCTTGAACACTGTGAGGGGTTGGCCAGTTATGTCCCTTATGTGTAGTGGAAGTGTGTTGAACAGTCTCGGGACTCTGATGTTGATAGAGTTCTCTCTCAGAGTACCTATTCCACCTCTGCTTTTCAAAGTGGGTATTCTGCACATCTTGCCATGCCTTCTGGTCTCATGTGATGTTATTTCTGTGAGACTCCAGTTTCACTTAGTACTATATCTCATATATATACTATATATAGTACTATAGTACTATATATAGTACTATAGTACTATATGTTTCAGTACTATATCTGTACTACATAGAATACAGTATATCACTCACTCCTGTCTCATTAGAATACAGTACCTATACTTACAATACAGAACATTGCTTCTGTCTCACTTAGAATACATTGCTACTTATTCAGAATACCAGTACATTACTACTCTCCCTGAATACATTACTACAGTACTTACATAGAATGTAGTACCACATCAATACTACTCAGAATACAATGCCACTTCACTAACTCCTGTCTCATGTAAAATACTTCGTAATACAGCCACTCACCAAGCTTTTCATAAAGTAAATTTTGACCCATTTACTTTTCAGTTTCCCTGATGTTTAATAGTGTTCACCTCACGACAACCTCAACAACACAAAATTTTAATATAAACTTGGTCTAATTTTGGTACTGAAGGCAGCGTCTGTTTAGAAAGCCCTTACATGTACTTAACCCCTCAAATGTAATACAGTACATATTTAAAGATACAGTACTACATTGAGGTGTTTGAGTTTAATAATAGTTAAAAAATCAAATGGGGAAAATTGCATATGGCAGTTGGAGCACAGGAGGAAATTGCAAATAGCAACTGGAGCAGGGTATAGGTTAAGTATCAACCAGTAATTCCTTACCCGAAGGGACTGAGCGCTGCTGCCGCCTCTGCTGCATATGTTCTGCCGCCCTCCTGAACAGGGCACTGCCTCGTATGATCATGATGAGCTCTCCATCCTTCACTCCATAATCTTTAAGACTTTTCTTATTGTCTGTAAGTGGCTGTGCATTGAACACTACCACCATTTCTCCCACAGGGATTCCAACCTGCCAAATATATATAATCAGTAAATTCAAGCAAATTGCCCCTACATAACTTAAAGAAATAAAATATTCTTTCTCTGTACAATACTTCAGATCAGATTAGCTGAAATTTTGATGTTAATGGTCTAGTACTGCACAAACAAATGATTTTCAATTCAAAGTAAACAACAACTTGAGTTGAACAAATCCACAAGGGCCGTGATGAGGGTTGGTACCTCCATCCGGGATGATCCCAGATGCACCTTAGTCAACTGTGTCACGACGTGGAAAAAACTGCAACCTGGGGTGCTACTGCCCTCACTGCCATGTTGTGGCACAGTTGACTAAGGCTCATCTGGGATCATCCCAGGCATATGTTCGAACCCTCGTCACGGCCCTTGTGGATTTGTTCATTTGATATATCATGCTATTGTGATGTGTGTGTGTAAAACTTCAGTTGGTTGTGATCCTCAAATTCAAGGCAACTGCTCTTTTTTCTCCCCATTTATCCCATAAACTTATGCTATTTATGTCTTTTAACACTTTTATTTTCAGCACAACTCATTGTAAACACGCACTATAAGAACTCTTCATACAAAAACAATTTTAGCCAATAGCATTTTTTTGGCTTCATTCTACCTACTAGTGCAGGGTCTACATGTTTATTAGACTCTGGTGGCCAGATACTGGCTACTTTATTCTAGGCGACACTTTAAAATCATACTGCACATAGTTGCCTAAAGGATATACCTTGCAGCTATGACACCCTACACCAGACCCGAAGGTTTGATACAACTCCAGTCAGATTTCCACGATATGAGAGACTTTGAGAAACCCAATGTACCTTCTAGTAAATAAATAAATAAATAAATATGCAGATTTTTTTCACTCTTGTCACACCTTACCTCCATTTCACAGAGTGCCTTGAAGTTCTCCAGCTCCAAGTCCTCCGCTACCTCCAGCGGAATGATGTCATTCTCTGTATTGACGGAGATACGCATTTTTGGAAGCCTTGTTTAAGGACTGCCAAGTATGGCTGTAGTGTATTCACCTACTATTCACCTAGTTGTGCTTGCGAGGGTCGAGCTCTGATCTTTCAGCCCGCTACCTCACTATGGTGGCTTCAATAGGGTGTAGTGGTGCTGGAGGGCTCTATTGTGAACCCTGGGAGGTGTGCCTGGGTGACTCCTGGGGTCTGACGACGCCGAGGAGAGCCTTTGTGTGACTAGTGATGGGAGCAGTTGCTGTAAGGCTACTCTGAAGGGTGGTTGTGGTGGCCACGGGATGGGCTCGTGTGTGAGGATCTGGGGAAAGACTTGTGTAGCGATGACGGGAAGGGCTTTGTGTGACAGCCCTGAGACGGGCTGTAATGTGGTGGGGCTGGGAAAGGCTTATGTGTGATGGTCGTGGGAAGGAAGTGACGCGACTCCCTTCTCTCTCTCTCTCCAGTTTGTTTACATCACGTAAGTCGACGGCACAACACAATGTATCTAAATAAATACTTCTTGTATAATTACTATATTGGATCTACTACACATCATAGAGTACTCTTTAAATAATCAACTTATATTCCCTAATTCTATAGTATTTTGATCTTTTCAAACGGGTATTTTTAAGTATCCAACACGATTTGTGTTCTGTCGACTTCCTCACACCACTTGTCAACTCTGTTGTCAGCCTAAACTTATTTACATTTTTCTTTTATTCCGCGTATGACTAACCATCTTGTGAGATGGGGATATTACCTCATGGTCTTATTACCCTGTAATCTGTAATTACTTTAATGAATATTACCCTTTAATCTTTCATACATAATTCAATATTAGGGGTAGCTGCAGTGTACCTAATTAAATCTCTTTAAAAAAAATGGTGAAAGCATATACTAGAAAGTACGTTTTATAAACTATGTACTTAGTACATGCACTATATAGTAGTTTAAATAAACATAAGAACAATGAATTATTATTTGTCTATATTTATATCCGTAACAAAGGAAGCTGGCAGTGCTTATAGCCTATACTACGCTATAATTAATTCTAGCGACCTGTGCGTATACGTCGTGGACAATATGCTTGTGTTGAACGCAGTAGCTGTAAGGAAATGTATATGTTTATCTCTCAGAATGTTTGGTAATATGTTTATTGTTTGTGATGTGTGTCTATGTATGTATTAACACGATGTACTGAACGGGGTGAGAATAGCTTGAGCTACCTCATCCCTTTGTGTGTATTTTACCTCAATAAACTTATTTCAATTTCAATTTTCAATTTCAGTAGCTGTAGGAGCCATGGGTTCAAATTCTAACGTATTTAAAAACATTCTCAGTACAGCCTAGTTAGTTAGTATACCATATAAATTGATTACGTCAATTTTGCTGCTTGGTGAACAGAAGCATCAGGGTGAAAGACACTGTCCATTTTTTTTTAATGTTAACTTTTTTTCAATTTTGCTACAAATTACCTACTTAAAGTGATCTGTTAGATTAAGGACTTGCCCGAAACGCTATGCTTGTTAGTGGCTTTACAAAAATGTAAAAACATCAGTGCTATGTATTCTAATAAACCCATTGTACCTACTTATATATATATAAATAAGTAAATAAATAAATAAACGTCAAATAACAATTACCCCAAATGAGTAATCTTGATACGAGAGAATTTTATCGTGAAAAAAACTTATGTACAAAATGTATAAGCTGTTAACCTGTGAACTGCGCAAAACTTGAATCCCCCCCCCCCCGCCCCCAAGCAATGATCCTATAATCTCTAATGAGACCTCAAGGATTCGAACCTAAGCGCCCAGGGTTAAAATTGAAATTGAAATAAGTTTATTGAGGTAAAATACACACAAAGGGATGAAGTAGCTCAAGCTATTTCTCACCCCGTTCAGTACATCGTGTTAATACATACATAGACACACATCACAAACAATAAACATATTACCAAACATTCTGAGAACGCCCAGGGTTTTCCCACTGGCTGTCAGGTACGGATTCCACTCCACCATCGATTGCCAAAAACAGTTTTAGAGTGTTGCAGATGAAGTCACAATAACGTGTGATTAACGTTAGGTTTGGAGTAAATGTGTATAGTTTGGAGTATTGTTGGGAGCTTATTTGGTGTTCTTACCTTGAGAACATAAAGGGAAACATTGCATCTGCATTGTGTTCCTCCCATGTTGGTGTTAATTGTTTCTATGGCAATGAAATACATTCTTGAAGGACATCATGCTTTGTAACATTAAAACATAAGGATCCTATTTTTTTTTCGGGGGGGGGGGGGGTAGAAATAGCCTAAACTACTCTATCCCTTTGAGATGTATTTTTCTTGTCTCAATAAACGTACTTGAACTTGATTCTATTATGTGTTCACATGCATTATTTATTTCTTCCCACCTTGTGAAGTGAGAGGATTAATTCATTACCTCCCTCGCCTCTCATTAGTCTAAACGCGGAAGCTTCATTTATCTCTGAGATTCTATCCCTAATACTCTGTAAAGCTTAATCATATCATTATCTCAGTAATAGTTTTCTTAGACCAAGAGAATAATCTTTAGGATTATTCTCATGGCTTCTTTTTGTACCTTCCTCAACTTGTTTTGCCCGAAACGCATTGCGTAATAGTGGCTTTAGGCATTGTATGTACTAGCTCTATCTATATATCAATCCATTAATGTAACATCACTTGTATGTATATACCTTACCTGAATAAACATCTGAATCTGTTTATCTGCCTTTACCAAAACAAGACATGACAGGGGCAGCATAATCAATGGGAGATCTCCCAGTATGCCATATGATTACAATTGGAATGTGAAATGTAAAATATGATTAATAATTGTGTTCTGTATGGGTTTGTGAGCCCCTTGAAGGACCTTATATAGATGAGGGTAGAAATAGCCTAAGCTACTCTATCCTTTTGAAATGTACAGTACTTCCCTTTTCTCAATAAACTTGCTTGAACTTGAACCATCTGTGAGATAGGGATATGAGGTGAAGCAAATAGTTAACTCTTGACCTATTGATTGTAATTCCTCATATAGAGTAGATTTAGCCGTTTATCCAAGTTCATCAAAGTAACATCACCGTGATCTGAAACAGTGAGGAGTTGAAGTTAGTTAATAATGGGTGTATTTGCAGGTTCAATTTCTGAACTCATTATTGGGTTCAGAGGTATATAACCCTCTTCACTAACGATACATTCACTAGATGGATTTAGCCTGCATAATAAGTATTTTTGTTTATTATATAAAACAGCGAACATATACAAATCAATAATTACATAGCTGAAAAATTGATGTATTAGTGAAAAACCCGACCATTAACATACAATATTTAATAATTTGTTGAAGTGTGATAAAAGATCTTTTGTTCCCTCTAATTTCTTTTATTGAGGAAGTCGATCAACATAACCATCAATTTCCATATGTCAGTATATTATCTCCCCTGAGGGAGTGGACTATATAGTCCTTAATTAAAAAAACACCATGGATAGACCATAGTAGACTTGGAACCCACTGCTCAGCCTGTGCGGGCCTCCTCCACTCCTGGTAAACCAAGAGGGAACGGTCATCAATGTCCAAGGCATTACACCTTGAACAGCTTCCCGCTCAGAGGCTCACACTTAGCTACATCATCGCAGTGTGATTCCTTCCCGAGTTTCGGACAAGGAACTCGGCAGTCATACTATAGAATTGATCCTATGAAGTATGATCATGCTGGGACAGGGAGAGCCGCGAGACCTTCCTCATCGCTCTGCTGACCAACGAGGAATATATCATCCACGCCTATTAGTAATGTAAATTTTAATAGAAAACAAACAGAATACATTTTTACTTTAATGCATCTAACAAAGTGTTTAAATACACATTTTATAGCATATCTAATTATACAACTGAAATGATTAAAAGCGTTTATGGGACTCTTAAAGTAATAAATGATACTGAGCGCGCTTATTGCTGTATATGGAAGAGCGATCATTCAGTCGCCACAGACACAACCACTCATATATTTTGATTTATTTATATATACAAGAGTTCTTACTACTCATAGATATTCATAGAAATCATGTAGGTTCATTGATTTCCGAAACGTTATGCGTGTTAGTGACTTTGCAAGAATGTAAAAATACTAATCACATGTAACCTCACAATCCCATTGTACCCTCTTGCAAGTAAAAATTATTATTATATATAACCAGGTGAGCTTATACTACACATTATAATATCAAGTACGCTATTAGAATATTTAGTATATAATCAAAAATTATATATACCCAGAACTTATTATAAAAAACGGTAAACTTTTCTAAAGCCTAAAGCTCTTGTTATGCAGCTCATCAAGAGTGTAACTTGCTTAGCTGAATGAATTGTGGGGTTCAGTCCCTGAGCCCATTATGTGCGGTAAATCACCTATACTAATTATTTCCCCCAGGAAGCGTCAATATATCAGTTATTAATGCCTCAGAGAAGGTTCGTAGATCCGTCGCCAGAAGGCAGCACGTGATGGCTACATTCTCGAAAAGGCAATTCACTCACAGACTAAAGTAATAATAATAATATTTTATTCAGGAAAAGAGTTACAAACATAATGTTGGATTAATAGATAGAGCTAGTACATACAATACCTAAAGCCACTAATGCGCATAGTACGTAAGTAGTACATATATTATATATTACATATATGTACATACAAGTACATATATGTACATATATGTACAAGAATGTAACAACTCTTGTATATATCTCAAAAAAAGTAGTACATATATTACATATATGTAAGTAGTAGCAAGTACTCACTCACGGACTAAAGTCATTCACAATTCACTCACGGACTAAAGTCGTTCATAATTCACTCACGGACATTGAAGATATTTTCATACTCTGGCCAGAATTTGCTGGTGCAGAGTAGACTCATGCTTTAAATAATCAACAAGCCTGTGAGATTGGGATATTAGGTGAACTCTTTGTATTTACTCTGTAATGCATCATATATAGGTTGGCAGTGTACCTAAGCTTGTTTCAATGTGTTTTAGTTGCTAATGTGTAAATAGCAACTAAGAATAGTTTCAAGGGATTACTTACTCAATCACAGAGACGTGTAATTTGTACAACTTTGTTCTTAATCATTCCTAAAGTATGTTCGTCAGTTTCATACTAGGATTCTTAGAAATAATGTTGTCCCAATATGTGCCTCTAACAAGTTCAAGTACGTTTATTGAGACAATAAAATACATCTCAGAGAGATAGATAAGCTTAGGCTAGTCTTACCCTCCTCTAACCTTTTCTAATACCACCAACAGGCTGGAAATGGGGTGCATATTAAACCAAACTAAACCTATTTAGAATCCATTATTTCTTTCGTTTATTATTCAGTAACTAATAACAACAATTTAGAACATTAATGCAGAAAGAAAATACTTATATAGTGAAGAATAGTGGAAACACTAACATAAAAATAGCTGGGACAATGTTGGTTATCAGTAGCGGGAGGCGCGTGTGGAGGCTGTGAGAAGACTAGCATACTTACCTGGCACAGGAGATACCGTGATCACGAAGGCGGTTTTCCCAAGGCGAGGCTCACCATTGCACTCCGGTGGCGCTGACCCTTGCGATTAACCCAAATGTGGTTAACTCGAGTGCGAAATTTTTGTTAGCTGGGGACTGCGTTCGCGCTATCCCCTTAATATACTTATATTGTTAAAGGGAAGGCACGGGAGACATCACCCGTCACGTAGGGTGCAGTTGCACCTCCACAGATCTCTGGTATCATCTATGCTGGCATGGCAATGGTGGTCAGCAGTAACACAGTCAAGAATTATGCAATAATAAATATAAATTCGTCCTTCTCTTAATGATAGAGGAAAGTCTACTTGGAAGGATTCAGTTTTCATGAGATTAGGATTAGTAGGATACAAATATTTCTGGCAATATGGTGTTGATGTCAGTGAAAAAGATAAGGAGTGTAAATTATGTAGTACGGTGCACGCCCACACCTTAGATCATTATGTATTAGTGTGTAGTATAGTGCACGCCCACACCTTAGTGTGGTGCACGCTTACACCTTAGATCATTATGTATTAGTGTGTAGTATAGTGCACGTTCACACCTTAGATCATTATGTATTAGTGTGTAGTATAGTGCACGCCCACACCTTAGTGTGGTGCACGCCCACACCTTAGTATGGTGCACGCTTACACCTTAGATCATTATGTATTAGTGTGTCAACTTTTTGATAACTATAGAAATCATTATGTATTAGTGTGTAGTATAGTGCACGTTCACACCTTAGATCATTATGTATTAGTGTGTAGTATAGTGCACGCCCACACCCAATACATTTGTATTGGGTGTGGGCCCAATTTGTATTGGGTGGGCCCATTTGTATTGGGTGTGCGCCCAATACAATTGTATTGTATTGTATTGTAAATAAGGAAATAAGTAGTGTACCACATCAAATTGTTTGGATGTGTGATAATGGTATAATAGACAGAATACTTGGGAGCAACAAGCAGTTTTGTCCCCAAGAGTGTAACACTTATATGCTGTGTTTACTATACTAACCTGTAATGTTAAATGGGATTCTTGTATTGTGATTTGTGGATTGTACTCACTGGATTTGTGCGCCCCTTGAGGGACTTGAAGTAGACGAGGATAGAAGTAGCCTAAGCCACTCTACCCCTCTGGTAGAAGTAGCCTAAGCTACTCTACCCCTCTGAGATGTAATTTATTGTCTCAATAAACATACTTGAACAATGGAGTATGGAGTGCACACTACACTACCACACACAGGAGTATGAAGGGACGTAAATATAAGGGAAAACACAAAATCATTACGACTATATAACACTTGTAAGGAATCCGGATTTGGGATGGGACGGGGGAAAGGAATAGAAGTCTTAGAATGCACAATACTGTAGCCGCCTTCCGCTGCAACAATATTGTATACGCCGAAGCTTAAAGATTGATAAAGATTAAGCCAGCCAAAAGGTGGCACGGGTATGAATAGCCCGTAAGTGGTGGCCCTTTTGAGCCATCTGAGGAGATCTGTGGAGGTGCGACTGCACCCAACGGAGAGGTCGTGACCTGACCGAAGCTTATTAATAATAAATAGCATATAGGAGGAGGTGGACAAGGTGGAGGTGGCCGTGGAGAAGGTGGACAAGGAGGGGGTGGCCGTGGAGGAGGTGGACAAGGAGGGGGTGGCCGTGGAGAAGGTGGACAAGGAGGGGGTGGCCGTGGAGGAGGTGGACAAGGAGGGGGTGGCCGTGGAAGAGGTGGACAAGGAGGGGGTGGCCGTGGAGGAGGTGGACAAGAAGGACGTGGCCATAGAGGGGGTGGACAAGGTGGACGTGGCCATGGAGGACGTGGCCGTGGAGGGGGTGGACAAGGAGGACGTGGCCGTGGAGGGGGGGGGTGGCCAAGGGGGTGGCCGTGGTGGCTCAGAGCCCCACACCACCAGTGCCATTGATCAGCTGGCGGCGGCCGCCGGACCCTCGTTCCTACCACCACAATGGACTAATATACCGGTGAGGGGCGGCCGTGCTGACCCACTTGCACATGGCTGGAGGCACACGTGGCCCCCAGTGAGAGGCACCAGCCATACAGACCAGTGCCAGGGGTGCCAAGGCCCACCTCGTGCCCCTCTAAAGTGGCATCTCCCTCTGGCTACTACATACGAAAACACTATACACACATATATATGTATTTTAGTATAACATATGGGTGATTTCGGGTCCAATTTCATCGCTATTTCTTGGTAATAGGTTAAAATAAGGGGAGAATTGTGCATTAGAGGAAGGTGTATAATGTGGCCCCATTAATGCTCGCGTGTAAGTCGGCGCCTCATTAATTTACCCGAATTTACCTGAGGGCCACTAATACTAGTGGCCTCGATGAGGACAGGAAGCCGATAGCTTGTCAAAGACCCTCCCCCTCATTTACCCTGATAATCCAGCTGTATTACTACTGTATATTGTACTAATTATGTGTACATAGTGCTAAGTAATTTTTCCAGCTTTGTGCATTCTCTTTATCATTATTTAATTACGCATTTACAGCGTTATTACACATTTAGTGACACAAATATTTAAGATGTGTGTGTTGCTTAGTGGTGAAAGATGTGTTACTTGTGTTGTAAAGTCTTAGTTTGATGTGTTAGGTTACAATAGACAGGTTAGGTTAATTACCTTGGGTTAGGCTAATTAAGTTTGGTTATTAGGTAGGTTAAGTTTAACTATTGATAGGTTAAGTTGGGTTTGGTAAGAAAGGTTAAGTTAGTCAAGTTGGGTTAGGTTAAGTTAATTATATGATATATGGTTAAATTTCTATGTATTTCTAAGTTTATGCACACTAACTTACATAAGTTGGTGTGCTAACAACAATTATAATAGCTATAATTAATTAACTTGTTACATTTCTAAGATAACAGTTAAACTAAAGCTTGATATTTAATGTTAAAAATGGTGCATAGAAGTTAAACCCAAAGTTCCATATTAGGGTATGCCTACAGGCACATTAAATTAGTCTAGGCTTTAATATTTGGTGCCAATGTTGACTATGCACTTGCATAATCAAATCTTTAAATCCCTCTCAACATGCTAAACATCAACTCACTCCACAATCGTTATATGACAAAGAGTGCTGGGAAGACGGGACACCACGAGCGTAGCTCTCATCCTGTAACTACACTTAGGTAATTACACATTCTCTTGTGCCACTTACTTGTGCATCTAAGAACAAAATCTTTTTCTTAGATGTAAACCCTGATCTGAAACTCTTAATTGACAGATTAAGATGTCAATTAAGATGAAAATATAGATGTACACTGTAATTAAACACATAATCACCACAACAGAAATAAATATCTCTGTGATATCCCCAGTCAAGCTAAATCTTGCATACACAATTATTCTAGTTTTCCATAGAGAAGGGTAGGAAGTCATTGGTGTACCACTCGCAGGAGTATTGACCAACTACATATGCATCCCCAGGATTTAACTTCACAATAGTTGCCCAGTGTACCTATTTACTGCTAGGGAAATAAGGGCATTAGGCAGAAAGAAATGTTAGCTAAATGCATTTGTTCTGCTCCAGGAATTGAACCCAGGACCTTTTTTTATTTATATATACTGTACAAGGGTTTATATACTTTTGTAAAGCCACTAGCACGCATAGCGTTTTGGGCAGGTCCTTAACCCTAATTTTCCCGGAATACGACCCACCAAACCATTTAACAACCAGGTATACAGTACCTGCTAGTTGAACAGAAGCTACAGCCTGTTCACTTCTGGGTGAACAGAGGTTACAGTTAAGAATTGGCACCTAGTCAATCCTCCCCATCTTATGCTTTACTCTTGAGTAATTACCAATATATACTGCTAGGTGATTGTGCTGTGGCTGCCCCTAACCAAACAACAGATATATTTTACCTATAAATCCAGGCATAGCTGGAGAGTCCCGAGGAATGAACAGGGGACCCTATGGGTGCGACCTGCACTGAGTACTGATGTCTGTATGTGGCCTGCAAAAAGTGGAATGTCAGACACGGGACATCGTAATGCGATTCCTTCCACTGGCCTTGGTCATTGAGGAGAATGGGAAGTGTGAGGCAAGAATTCAAGATGTGATTTATTTAGCTTTTTCTTTATTTATATATACAAGAAGGTACATTGGGTCTGTGGGAGTACATAACATTGATATTTTTACATTCTTGCAAAGCCACTAACACGCATAGCATTTCGGGCAGGTCCTTAGTCTAACAGATAATTGTAAGTAGGTAATTTATAGTAAAATTTGAAGAATATTAATAGGTACATTGTAGGAAAATTTGAAGAATATTAGTATTTGAAGAATATTTAAGTCGCAGCCCATACAGATACCATACGTGGCAGGGAGGTAGCAGAAGACCCAAAGATTCCAATCATCCTTTGTTATTCTGCCATTTCTTTCCAGGTTTTCTAGCCATTTGGTTTTAATTTTGTTTGTTTAATGATTTGACTACCATACATGTCAATAATAGATGTCTATAATTTATAGGGTCTTCTTTGTTGTGAGTAATTACCAGATGAGCGCTATGCTCGAGATGTCCAGTCAACCCTATAGTTGCGGATTGCAAGTCGTATAACAACCTGAAACGCTTTACATGCTAGTGGCTATACAAGAATGTAAGAACTCTTGTATAAAAAAAAACCCACTATAGTCTGTCAGTCATATTTGAAATAACTGATGGTTTTTGGCATCCACCACTTTCTCACTTGAATTGTTGCTACTGTATACAATTGTAGTCATGTGTTTGTGTTTATATGTATCAGTTGTGATAGTATACATTATTTTCTTCCTCCAAAGCATATTGAAGAGGCTGGGGTCCTTGCCTCACTAACAAGCCTTCACAATGATGAGCGGAGAGTCATATGGCCGGTAAGTATCCCACAGGTATTTAAAGTTTTATCGATCTAGTATAATTGATATACAGTATTGATACAGTAATAATAATAATTTTTATTTAGGGAAAGTACATACACACAATATGGGATACATGAAGACCGTTGGATTTCTAGGTATGGCAAGTACTATGTTTACAACCGCTAATACATTCAGCATTTTGGCCATGATGTGGAAAAAATATAAAATTAAAAACTAAGACCTGAAACTAATTGAGATCAAAAGCAAAAATGAACTAAAGTAGAAAAAATGGCAATAATTACTGTACATGGTGAATGGTACAACAGAAAATGCAACAGAACAGCAGAAAGTAATTTTTCACTAAATAAACAGAAGGAATAAAATGGTGAAATTTTTACACGGCAGATATCGGCAGTTTTACAAGTTCAATCATTAATTAATGTTCAATGACTGAATGATAAAAATGATAAAAAAATAAATGATAAAAATCTGCTATCAGAACAATAACAAACTCTGCTGTCAGACAACACACAGCTTTTCCCTGTTTAAATCCCTCAACATGCTAAACGTAAACTCATTCCACACATTCTCTTGTGCCATTTACATGTACAAAACCTTGTTCCTAGATGCAAACCCTAATCTGAAATGCTTCCTTGACAGATGTAATAGAACCCATAATCACCACACCAGAAAGAAATATCTCCTTGATATCCCCAGAGTCTAACTAAATCTGTGTAAGCACACAATGCAAATAAAGAGACCTAGTCTATGGAACTCACTTTTTAACGACTTAAAAAGCTGTCCGACCTACGCCTTATTCAAGAGTAACACCAAAAAGTACCTAATTTCATCCTCAAAGTTTTCTACCCAGTGCTTCCCACGTGCACTGTATCTTGTACTACCCCAAAATATGTGTCTGAGCTATATAACTTCACTGTAATCACTTATCATCTTATATCATGGTTGTTATGTTGAAAGCAAATTTTACTACAATGTACCTAGAAATAATCCTCAAATTATTCTTAATTGTACCTGTCGATTCTACTCAGATTTTACTAAAATGTTCCTACTAATTTTCTTCAAATTTTCTTACAATGTACCTGTTAACTTTTTCAGTTTTGCTACAAATTAGCTACCTAAATACACATAGAAATCACAGTAGCGTGATATATCAAATGAACAAATCCACAAGGGCCGTAATGAGGGTTCGAACCTATGTCCGGAAGGATCCGCATCTGTAAGGCAGATCAGGCGCGTCTGGAATCATCCCAGACGTAGATTCGAACCCTCATCGCGGCCCTTGTGGATGTATTCATTTACCTACTTAAAATTACCTGTTAGATTAAGGACCTGCCTGAAGCGCTATGCGTGTACATCAATGCTATGTACTCTCTTAAACCCATTGTACCTTCTTGTATATATATAAATAAATAAGGTAAGGTAGGTTGCATAGTTGATTAAGTAATACTTAGTTTCTCTTTTTAAAAGAACACAAAAGATGTGTTAAATCTGCAGATATGACCAGTGCTGTCTTCTGTCATGTTAGGGACTAATTATTTAATTATTTAATTACTAATTATCCTATACACGTAGATTGGTCTTTTTTTCCAAAATAATCTTTCCCTGCCTCTGTTCTCCACATACACTGTCTTGTTGAATCAACTCTCATATGTAACATGCCCAACATGAACCTTAGTCCTGACTTTGTACATAGTTATATGTTGTAACCTGCTTAGCAAATGTGATCTGACCTAGGTTTTTGCCCCTCTAGGCTCTCCTTCCTTCTCTTCTGTTTCTTTCTCTTTTTGTCTCTGTTTCACCTGATTCTTTTTGCCATTAGGTCTTATGCACTTTCCTTTAAATAGAAATACTTATACTGTATATAAAATTAACAGTCCACTATAGTATTTGTGATCAAATTATATGGAAAATTATATTTAGAACAATATTTAATTTTCGGAGGGGAGCCCCGTCGGCTCTCTGGAGCCAGGGAGCCTCCAAGGTTCGCCCAGAAAAAGGCGTTTCATTACATTCAACGCTGGTTTTTGCGTTATTTAACTGTCATGCATCTTGAAGGTTCGGACTGGAAGATGACGACGACGATGAGCACGATGGCCCCGGGCGCCATATGTCTCCGCCAGAAGACCCTTGGAACTTGATCTATCTGGCACTAGTGTTGGCTGGGGCTGGCTTCCTTTTGCCTTACAACAGGTATTGTTAACTTGCATCTGAAATGTTAAATAAGATCCATCTTTAATAACAAAAATTACTGTGCATACTGTGTATGTACTATAGCTTGTTGATATTTTTTCATAAATATAATTTATGCAGATATATTAGGTGGCTTTGTTGAAGGATGTAGCTCAGATAATAAGGGACAAGAACATTCATTCAAAAAAATGATTTTAGCTTGTGAAAAGCTGATTTGGAAAAGTGATGCAGTACTTTATTCAAGTACAGTAGTTATTTTAACAGCATTATTCCCATAGTGAATTTTGGGACTTGCAAAGGTTAATGGGCTGTTTCCCCACTGCATCCACTGGTGGAACCTGTAGTCACACAACTAGCTGCTTACTCAAATCAAATCAAATGTTTATTCTGGTAAAAGTACTTGCATGCAAGATGAGTTACAAACATAATGTTGGATTTCAAGTTAGAGCTAGTACATGCAATGCCTAAAGCCACTAATACACACAGCACAAACACCTAATAAATTCCCTGTAACCTACCTTACCCCTCTATTATCAACGCATGTCTGTTTTTTTAAACAACGCTGTTTGTCGACCTAATTGTATTGGTGCTGCTTTTTCTGCCATGTTCCCCCCTTTTTAATTTTTATTTGTTCTCAACACATTTTATACTTTAATCTCAATTAGTATTAAGTTTAACACAAATAACACCTTGTGATAGTTTCAAGGTGAAATAACACCTTGAAATAACGAAAATGAGTTTTGGAGAACTCTTCCTTTCAGCTAAGCCCTGATGCTAGGAAAATAGTTAGAGGGAGAGAAGCCCTAAATCAGAAGATAGTAAATACAGAATATGCGGTCATATTCAATGAGACATGTTTAAAAGAAAACCTGCTGCCAGTATACACCATTATAGTATAACATATAGCTACTGCTGTACATGTAAATCCTGTACAGGATTTATAAAGATTTATTTTATAAGACTGCCTGAAACGCTGTGCGTATTAGTGGCTTTAGGCATTGTGTGTACTAGCTCTCTCTAGAACTCTAACATTATGTTTGTAACTCATCTTATATGTATGTACGTTTACCTGAATAAAAATTTGATTTGATTTGATTTCTCAAATTTTTCAGTTTCACCATTGCTGTTGATTATTTCCAAGAGCGGTATCCTGGGACAACAATTGTGTTCGACATCTCCATCGTATACATCTTTGTGGCGTTCGGGGCTGTACTAGTCAACAATCTGCTAGTGGAACTGGTACCACTCAACATCAGAATTATATTTGGTAAGATGCACATTTGTACGTGTCTCGTATTGCATTTAGCATACATTAGGTGAAATACATGGCCTAATTCAACACACCTTTATGTTACGTGAAAAAGAATTCAAGCCATACTGGTATATAATATTTGTAAATGTCAAGACAATACTGCAATTCTAAATACAGCTGGAAAAAGTCATTAGGTAAAGAGGGGGGGGGGGAACCTTTTGTAATGACTGGTACCTGTATATACAGTAAAATCTAGCTTTTGTTATTAATGTAAATGTTTCTCCTAGTTAAAATACAGTACCAGTTTGTTTTGTGTGTGTTCAATTTTATATTTCATTTGTGTTTGAGAGTATGTATTAGTAAATGTGTGTGATTCCGTGTGTAAAGTTTTCATGTGCATTTTCGTGAGGGTAGTGTCCCTGAACTCCACAAGGGAAGAGAGAGGGCCGAGCCTCAACACACAGGTTGTGTGGTGTGTACTCGTGAGGTGCCCACCTCACAGTGTGAGGTTATTGACCTCCATTTATATCTTGAGTGATTGGAACTGTAATCGTTAATCTGGTGATGAGAGATTTTTTCTTGTTAGTGTATTGTCCTTTTTCCTGTGTTTAAATAAATGTAATGCACACACTTTGATGGTTTCTTGAGCCCCGCCAATGCAAAAATATGATACTGGCTCCATGTGGTCACTCTTGAGTTTGAAGTGTTTATAAATGCATATTGGTTCTACATCCCTGGTTTAAAGTAAGATATCTATACAGTACTGTAAATAAGAAAGTGAGGGCGGGTCTTGTTAGTCCCATACTCTAGGGTACGGCTTTTAAGACCGTGCCCTTAAAACTGCTTACATACTGGGAGCCACCTCCAGAATTTGACTTTCTCTCTATAAAACTGAATAAACCATCCAGAAGGGCTAGGCAAACTAGCAACTCCTCAAAAGAAAAAAATTAAATTAAGGCAACCAACCCTGACCCTAAAGTGCCCAGCCACAACATCGCACCCAAAGCTCTGGCCAACTACCTATCTTACTCGGCTGGTATTATGGACGTTGGACGGCCAATGGTGGGAGCTCTTGCTGCTTTCTTAACCCTTGCACTGCTCACCTATTTTCGGCAAAAACGTCTTGGTGCAATTGACAAGGACATATTTTTGTTATTTTTACAAATGTTCAGGTAAATTTAATGTCAAAATGTTTCCAATGTCAACTATTTCCATTTCAAAACAAAAATAGTAATGAAAACATTAAAAAACATTAAAATATAGCCAAATTAAAAAACAAAAAGCACAACTCTCTGAGCGCCTAAAGGCGCTTTGCGCAGTGCAGTGGTTAATCAGCTGAGTGGTGTTGGTTTTCCATGAAACATTTATTAAATGTGGGGGCCATTGTTTTCTTTTACAGTATGTACTTCATTACCACCTCATGATTGTGTTCAGTACCACCCACTGTGCGTGTTCATTACCTTTTATTTCCCTTTGTCTATGGCTAGGGTTATCGTCTCTGGTGGCCATCCTGCATCTTCCGTGATCTACTAGTGATAGCTTTTCTAAAAGGTTTGGATTCCTTCTCTGAGTTGGCTCTTTTTGAGTTACCTCACTTCTGGATAATGCATTTGCCTGTCAATGGGTAGTTGATGTAAATAACTGTGTGTTAATGTGTGGTGTAGAGAATTTACTTGTGGAGAGTCTCTCAGTTCCATCTTATTTTGGCTGAGTGGATGGATAACAATAATTACCCTCATACTGTTATTGTATGTTTGTATGGCCCTCCATATAGATAATACATCCTCCTGTTGGAGCTCTTCATGTTGTCTCCTGTTCTTCACAGGAACAGGAGACTTCCTATGTACAATATGTTGTCTTATGTACCGGATTGTAGGGCTTTCACAGTAGTTGATTTTTGCTTGGAATAGTCAGTGGGACGTTCTTTATCTATATGGTTTGGCTTTGGTTCCCTCTTCCCCTCAGACAGGAAACATATGTCAACAGGGTGACCATTGTGGCTTCTTGGTGTGTAGCTCAGCCGTGGTTTCTGGAAATTCAATTTAGGTGTCTGAACCTGCATGTTATCCCCAGAACTCTGCCTCTTTTTGAGGATCTGTTGGAAGCTACACATCAATGGTTTGGGACTCTCCACCAATCTTCACATATGGTTTTTCCAAGTCATGTGTACCACCATCTGTATTGGGAGTAGGTGGCAGGTCTTCTCATGTTGCATTTGCTGAATGTTTTGTATTTTCTCTCCTGGTTCTTCATGAAAAGATCTGCCCTGTTGTGCCTGGCTTGCAGTGTTGTTAGCCCTGTGGCCCTCAACTGTTCCTGATACACGAGTTGACTTGGCTCTGGAATGATATTTGTTGACCGGTGTTGCACTTTCTCCAGAGTAACTATGTCCTTCTGAAGATGTGGGTCTCCATGCTGGGATATAGTAATCCAAATGGGGGTTATCTTGAGGTTATCTTGAGATGATTTCAGGGCTTTTAGTGTCCCCGCGGCCCAGTCCTCGACCAGGCCTCCACCCCCAGGAAGCAGCCCGTGACAGCTGACTAACACCCAGGTACCTATTTTACTGCTAGGTAACAGGGGCATAGGGTGAAAGAAACTCTGCCCATTGTTTCTCGCTGGCGCCTGGGATCGAACCCAGGACCACAGGATCACAAGTCCAGCATGCTGTCCACTCGGCCGACCGGCTCCCTGGGGTGCATCAGAGATTTATACAATTGGATCACTTCCAAAGGTACACTTGATTATTCCAAGGGTTTGTACCTTGATGGGGATCTGGGTGTTCTTCAACTCCCCAAGCCCAGCCTGGGGCCCGGCTTGACTTATGATTGCTTGGTCACACACAGGCTGTTACTTGGAGTGGCCTGCAAGCCCACATATCCACCACATCCTGGTTGGTCCAGCACTTCCTGAAAAAAACTATCCTGTTTTGAAGACATTCACGTTTGTTCCATCAATATTTCTTATGCTCGCTCGGAGGATGTTGAACAACTGTGGACCTCTGATGTTTATTCAATGTTCTCTAATTGTGCCTATGGTACCTCTCCACTGATCCTATTCTTCATTTCCTTCCATATTGTTTGCTCCAGTATTATGTTATTTTACTGTGTAGGTTTGGCACCTGGCCCTCCAGTATTTTCCAAGTGTATATTATTTGATACCTCTTTTGTCTCCTTTCTAGGGAGTACATTTGGAGAGCTTTGAGACGATCTCAGTAGTTTCAGTGCCTTATCATGTCTATGTATGCTGTTTGGTTAGCATTTGACTGCTGCTTCCACCTGTTACCTTGAGGTTACCTTGAAGTGCTTCCGGGGCTTAGCGTCCCCGCGGCCCGGTCGTCGACCAGGCCTCCTGGTTGCCGGACTGATCAACCAGGCTGTTGGACGCGGCTGCTCGCAGCCTGACGTATGAGTCACAGCCTGGTTGATGTGACAGTTGCAACCTGTTGTGCAACTTTTAATGAGTGGTGGATTTTGACTCCAAGATCCTTTTCTTCATCAATCTGCTGTAATGTTATGTTATTAATTTGGTAGTTTTGTTTTTTCCTACAGCTTACTGTATTGATATAGCATCCTCATACTTCCCTTGCCTCTGTTGAGGAGCATGATTATGGAGCTGGTCTCTGGTAGGGGCTCCTGAATCTTAAGAGCGTGGTGTTGTAGCCAAGGTTTGCAGTTTCCCAGGTGGGTAGCTCAGGAACCCACCGAGACGAAACACTACACTGGGAAGATGGGACACCATGAGCATAGCTCTCATGTTGACCAGACCACACACTAGAATGTGAAGGGACGACGATGTTTCGGTCCGTCCTGGACCATTCTCAACTTCTCAACATTCTCAAGACAATCGACTTGAGAATGGTCCAGGACGGACCAAAACGTCGTCGTCCCTTCACATTCTAGTGTGTGGTCTGGTCAACATACTTTAGCCACGTTATTGTGACTCGTCGCCTGCATAGCTCTCATCCTGTAACTACACTTGGGTAATTACAGTACTAAGGGACCCCACCAGAAAGAGGCATTTTATTACAATTAACACTAGATTTTTACATGCAAATGTATTGTTGTAGTATATAAATTCCCACTCCAACACCACACACAAGTGAAGTGACAATTTTTGGTGATTGCCACGTTCTGAGGGTTAATTGCATACTTATTATTGATCATATTTTGTTTTTCAGGTTATGTTGTGTCTCTATCAATGCTGATTTTTGTAAGCTTTTTTGAAATCTGGTGGCCTAATGCCTTTATGGCCAGCATCTCGTACAAAATTACACTGATTTCAGTGTCTGTGGTCGCCTTTGGATGTACAGGTACGTTAAGACATTCTTACTTGTTATTTATATGTAACCTTATTTGATTTACTTTCTTACCGTCTTATCTTTCACCTCACCACATTGAATGTATGTTAACTCTACTGCTCTTTGTTTACACGAGTTGATAATGATCCGGGATGGACCGAAGTGGCGTCACTAAATATTTGTTTATATGCAATTTGATAGCGTTTGTGTAATGCCCTGAATTGTACACTGGAGGCCTAGTATATCAAGCCGGTTCTTCTGTACATACTTTAATGTTTATAGTTTTTGTAATTATTCTTTTTAAGCATTATGCCTGTGAATATGCTCGGTATAGGATACATTACTCTACCAGTACTGACAGTGTATGCTCACACTGCCAGCATACTCACTTCTGCCAGTGTATTAGGGCTGGTGCTTCTACCTGCTGAGCATGTAGTTTTGCCACTCGCAATATTACCAAGTTGTAAATATATTGCCAATACTATTACTTCCTATTTTATTGTAATAATATACAAATATTCAATGGCACTGACAGAAGATAAATACATCTGTAGCCTTAAATTGGAGAAATGTTCAACTTTTCATCTATCAAAATAAGAGATGATCAGAATTTGGTGGGCATAGTGGATCTTTCAAAATTCAGATTTACTACATCATTCTGCACATGATCTAAATTCACTTGAAATCAAGATTTCTGAAGAATTGCCCTTCTTAGGGCTATTTATTAATACATTTTTCAAACCTGTTCATGCCAAATTCAAAGTGGAAATGAACACAAGAAATTTAGTTTTAACTACTGTATGTTTAATGAATTTCTCATGCTGGCTGGCAGTCTGTGGGCCAGGTGGATCGTAAGTCTCAGCTGGCTTCTGCCCGATGCTTTTTCTGTGGGACATTTCTGGGTCGGTCAGCCCTGGCTGTTCTTTTTGCTTTATTTTTGAGTTAGTTCTCTTTCAGAATTGCTGACTTCTTCTACCTAGGCTCTATAGCTTTGGGGAGCTACTGAACTCCAGCATTGGCATATCACTGCAGGACTTCGCTTGCAGGAATCATTACAGAATTCATTATCATCATCTGTGTTACAATTTCTTCACAGCATTTCCCTCTTTTGGAGCACATTTTGCTCTGCCGGAAAGAGGCATTTCATTACATACAACACTTTGGTTGGTCAAACCAGCATGTATAATTTTTTGACAAATGCCCCAATGATTCCTTTAATAGTCTCTAGCACCTAAAGGAAATTTATATAAACATTCAGAAAGATATTAAACAAATATTTATTCTAGCACATTAATTTAGAATTTATATCGAAAGCTAGTATTATACATTCAGTAAACTGTACATGTAAAATGCTATTCTGTCATGTGTAACAACCCCCCCCCCCCCCGTGTTACACATGGATGAAACAGGAACTCTACTTGACAAAGTTTGAAGGACCGAGAGCACTAAGAATTAAATGCTTCAAGGTGGAACATACTAAAGCACAAAATGTCAGTAATGCAGAAAAACATGAAGATGAGAGTAGACTTTATTAATGAGAGCTTTTTGTTCTCGTGCAATCTTTATTAAGCCAATAGATATACTCATTGTTGTTTTAGATTTAGCTATTCAGAATGAAATGTCCATGTAGCATGGGCTATGGTGAGCCCGTAATTGAGTACAGATATACTCAGGACTAGCTGCTTTTAAAGAAGACAGAAGGTGAGGTGAAGGTAGGCAGAGGCTAGAATGGTGTCACAGTACCACATTCTTTTGTCTGCTTTGGTAAATCTGATGCTCCTTCACAAAATCTGAGATGTTGTACATAAAGTTGTGAGAAGTAAGATCTATGTTGTTGTGACTGTGCATTCCCATAGCAAAGCTGAATTTACCTCAGGGCTATAGCTGTATTGTGGCTTAGATGAGGACAGAGAGCCAGCAGCTTGTCAAAACTTCCCCCGTTTGTCCTGATATTTAAATCAAGCTGGATTTTGAAATTCAGCAATGTTGTGGCATTTACGGCTTCAGCGGGTAGGCAGTTCCATGGGTTTATACAGTAACCCTTTGGGTGACGAAGCATATCCCATTGCTGATATGCTTGTGTCAACCAAAAATGGTTGGCCACGTTTCCTATCATCTAATGCCCCTACCCACCTTTTTATTTATTTATTTATTTATTTATTTATAAACAAGAAGGTACATTGGGTTAGAGAGAATACATAGCATAGTATTTACAATCTTGTAAAGCCACTAGTACGCGCAGCGTTTTGGTGCGCGTTTCGGTGCGGTGCGCAGCGTATGCGCAGCACCTAGCAGTAAATAGGTGCCCAGGAGTTTAGTCAGCTTGTTGTGGTGTTGCATCCTGGGTAGGGGTCAGTAATTTGACCCTGGGAGGGACCTCGATATAAACCTAACATGTACTGCATGTATAAACTGGCGGCCTGTCCCCTGAAACAATGAATTATTAACTATTATAGTGTATATTTATGGCTTCTACAGATGTACACACCCGACATCACAACATAGACCACAGTTCTCGCAACTATGGATATACTGCCTCAAATTTTATGAGAAACTATGTACAAGGCATCTTAATTATTGTTTCAGTAGAACCATGACTCCACATAATGGCTGTCTTAGCCTTGGTAAACCTTGCCACCGATTACACTGGTCAACAATTTTTCATAAGTCGTCTGCTCCTTTGATGTAAAGAGCTGTTTATCATGCATTTTGATGTCCTGAATTCAAATGTACTAATTAAAATTGTTCATTAGCTATCGTTTTATGTGTGAGGGAGGTAACAAAATCTTGCTTTATTTAACAAGTGGTGGATGCTGAAAATTTTTTACCCAGGCTCCAATAATGGATGGAGTGGCCGGTCTCTCATGACATGGTGGCAATCTCTCGCACAACTATTCCACTCGCAAAGAAAACAGCTGTACTATGTGTGTCCACCCCCTCAGATCCATCACAAGAGCAACAATCTTCAATTTATCTCAGAGCTCCCACTGATATTAGTCATAGTTTATGCACCTCAAAAGTTGCTTCATGTTGTCATACGTTTTTTCATATGGGCTGCTTAACCCAATGAAATTGATGGCAAAACACTTCTATTATGCTGCAAAATGGCTTTAAGACTCTTTTTGGATGAAACTAGAGCTAATCAACAATTTCAAGCATCATTTCCATTCACAGTGACCCAGAATTAGTCGGGATTGACTCCATATGTCTCGAAAACAATTTGGCTGTAGACCAGTGTTAAATTATTAGTTGTACCCATCTTAACTTCATCATTTTTTTTTTTTTTTTTGAGATATATACAAGAGTTGTTACATTCTTGTAGAACCACTAGTACGCGTAGCGTTTCGGGCAGGTCCCTGGAATACGATCCCCGCCGCGAAGAATCGTTGTTACAACCAAGTACACATTTTACTGTTGAGTTAAACAGAGGCTACAGTTAAGGATTTGCGCCCAGTAAATCCTCCCCGGCCAGGATACGAACCCATGACATCTTTTACCTTTATAAGCAGCTAGCCTTCTGTATCTCTGATTTGCAGGCAAAACATCATCTTCAGTAAAGTCTGTACTTAATTTTACATTTTTATACAGCTTAAAGTTATGGCAGAAATGCAGTGTAGATGAAGCTGGACAATTAAAAGTGATATTTTCAGATAATTATATAGAAAACAAAATTTTTACAAAATTGTCTGTCGAGGCAAACACATCAGGGAAGTAAGTTGCTTTACTGATTATTCTACCTGTATGGAGCAGGTAGATGCCATTTTATTTTGAGCAATGGGATATGACTAGTTTTTCACCTTAATTCTAAAATGTTTCAACATTGTCTTAAGCAACATATGGGGGTTAGACTTTGTTCTGACTGTCATCCTTTTGAAAATCTCTCTCTTATTTCAGTCCAGCAGTCAAGCTTCTATGGTTATACCAGCATGCTACCAAAGAGATATACTCAAGCTGTTATGACAGGAGAGAGTGAGTATAATCTTGTGACATTTACTCACTCATTTACACTCATACATGCACTGAAAAACACATACACAATTGTACTTTTACTGAAATACAAATTGTTGGCTGTTTGCTTCTGAAATGATCCGATGCTTCTGTTGAACTTAGACACCTAACCCACACATGGGAAAATAAATGAGGTGACGGAGTTTCAGTCTGTCCTTATCGCGTGACTTGATAAAGGTCCAGGACTGATGGAAACATTTGTTGAGTTCTTATGTTCCGATGTGTGGGTTGCGGGTGTCTAATTTTCAGCCCCATTATTGTGACTTATTGCATGTTACTAAGGGTGATCATGTGCGTGACAACAGCTGTGTGTGTGACAACAGCTGTGTGTGCACGACAACAGCTGTGTGTGCACGACAACAGCTGTGTGTATGACAACAGCTGTGTGTGCACGACAACAGCTGTGTGTGTGTGACAACAGCTGTGTGTGTGTGTGACAACAGCTGCATGCATGACAACAGCTGTGTGTATGACAACAGCTGAGTGTATGACAACAGCTGAGTGTGCATCACAACGGCCAAGTGTGCATCACAGCGGCTGAGTGTGCATCACAGCGGCTGAGTGTGTATCACAACAGTTCTGTGTAGAATTGGTAACAGTTGTTATTGCATGCCTTTGCTCCCACTCTGCATTTCTTTGTCTTTTAACATTTTCTAACCTCTTACATAGCATGCATTTCCATTTACTATGCCAGAAGCAGATGGTTTTCATGAGAGTTTTAGGCAATGTCCAATATTTGTAAAACTAAATCAATGTTGAATTCAGTGTTTGGTCAGTATAGTTAACAACAAAATACCTGATCAGAGCAGTAGCGTTTAATTTGCCGTTACGTAACGCACTTTTTAATTAAAATTTTAATTGACCATATTCGCACCTAGCATCACTTGCTACTACTGGCCTCTGGCCATTTTCTGTCTGGACCATTTTATTGGCTTCCTCAGCACTGTCAGTTTGTAATAAAAACATTCGTCTCCTCCTCATGTAAATGTGTCAACGAGGAAAGAATTTCCGCATGTATTATGACCCTATTTAATGAACAATGCCATAAATCCTATGTAGTCAACTTTACATAATAAGCATTCCTGGCATATATATATATGCTTCTGGGCTCCTCCAGTACCTGACCACACCACTTGTGTGGTCAGGTACATATATATATATTATATATATATATATATTATTCATGATTGCTTTGTTACTTGGTTAAGAACTAGGAGCAGTCTGTGACAAACATTAATCTTTGTTATCTTTATTGTATGGATTGAGGCCTATTGTTCACCTGGAGGAATTACTTTTAGGTAAGGAATCTTGTATGTGAAGAATTAGCAGTGAATAGGGGTATGGGGGAATATATCTTCATATGTTTGGGTATAATAATCCCAATTTGCTTTTCAATATATGTATTCAGCATTAGAATATAACCTGATATATCTGCTCATCCCCTATCAGCCCATCTGAAGCATATTTCAGCTGTCCTGTCTAGATATACTGCATTGCACTGTCCAGATATACTGCATTGCACTGCCCAGATATACTGCATTGCACTGTCCTAAACTTTCAAAACCAAAAGCAGTGTTAACATTCATGTTTATGTTTGGTTTTATACATTTACTAACAAGAATATTTGTTTTTTCATAATCATTCCACAGCTCCTGATTGTTTCCCCAAGCAATTGGGGGTTTGTTACATTTGCATTAGAGTTCAGGAGATAGCCTCCACTACTTTCTCATCTATCTTGAAATTTTCTTGTGTTGGTTTCGAAGATCAATGTCCCCGTGACCGGGTTTCTGACCAGGGGCCAGATTCACGAAGCAGTTACACAAGCACTTACGAACCTGTACATCTTTTCTCAATCTTTGGCGGCTTTGTTTACAATTATTAAACAGTTAATAAACTCCGAAGCACCAGGAGGCTGTTTATAACAATAACAACAGTTGATTAGGAAGTCTCGTGCTTGTAAACTGTTTAATAAATATAACCAAAGCCGTCAAAGATTGAGGAAAGATGTACATGTTCGTAAGTACTTGGCGTAACTGCTTCATGAATCTGGCCCCAGGCCCCTCCTAGTGCTCCTTTCACCCATTCTTGTCATGCTGAAGACTTTCATGTATATCACTCACTTATTTACGTACTGTATTCAATTTTCACATGTAACCCCTTGTTCTCACCCTCCCCCCTTTTCCAGCAAGCTTGATTTTATATGTATATATATTGGTACAGTATGTACTGTATGTATGAATTGTATACAAATAAATACATTGGTAAATGAAAAATAAATCATAGTTTTCAACCCAGGGTTTCATAAAATGTAGCAAACCCAATTTGAATTTAAAGTCATTTATTGAAATAAACAAGTTAATGTAGTGTGAATTTTGGATTTGATATATATATATATATAGAGAGAGAGAGAGTAGCTAATTAGTATAACACTATGTTCTATACAATACTGTACAGTATTTTGAACTTTCACTAACAGAAGTTATATATCATACATTAAACTAGGTCAGTATGGTGTAAATAGTAAACTGAAGTTTTATAAAGTATATCTTAAACTTTTATGAATTAGTAAAATTCCGTAGAATATGAAATGTGGACCAGACCACACACTAGAAGGTGAAGGGACGACGACGTTTCGGTCCGTCCTGGACCATTCTCAAGTCGAGAATGGTCCAGGACGGACCGAAACGTCGTTGTCCCTTCACCTTCTAGTGTGTGGTCTGGTCAACATACTTTAGCCCCGTTATTGTGACTCATCGCCTGCAATATGAAATATGTTCTGGATTGGAAATTATAAACAATTTAAGAGTCAATATATATAAAGGATTTAAATGCTGATTTTTATATTTTGTGTAGAACATAAGTCACAATAATGTGGCTGTAAATTTAGATACCCATCCAAGGTCCAAAAATAAAGGAAGTGATGATGTTTTGGTTCATCCTGGACCATTAATAGGTTGCCACTGCCATTATTTTCAGATTTTTGGGTTGTGTCTGTTTTTTTGTTTACGTTTCCAACCCCTTCGTGACCACTCAGGTACAGCAGGACTGATCATTTCTGGGAATCGTATAGTGACAAAGTTGCTGTTGGATGACCAGCGGACCAACACCATGATTTTCTTCGTTATCTCCATTGCCTTTGTCTTCCTCTGCCTTGTCACGCACATTGCCGTTCAGAAGACAACATTTATACAGGTTTTGTTCTTTACGTTTCAAGTACAAGATTTTGCCACACCTTTATTAATAAGTGTTTTCATGGTGTCTCGTCAGTATATTGTTTCAAGTACAGTACTGTATAAGGAAATTTCTTGGTACTGTAGTTTTGTAATTATTGTGTAATATATTGTAGTGACATCTTTGTAGTATTTCACATTATATATCTGTATTTATCTTTTATCACCCTGATTTGTGCAGATGTCAGTAGAAATGAAAACCACTATTCTTTTCTTTTAAATACATCTTGAATTTGAGATTAGAATTATATATGGGAAGAGACTATTTAGTCTATACTTTTTCTACTAAAAATAGTTTTCTTTTTAAATTGTACTCAGTATGGTGTCTGTATCACAGCTGAGAGTAGAACTTTTTTTAGAAATTGTAATACATATGTATTACAGTTGAGAGGGGGGCCAAAAGAGCCAAAGCTCAACCCCCGCAAACACAAATAGGTGAGTACAGCATCGTTGTCTGTACTTCGTGCTGTTCCTTCCACTGAATTGTGATGTTTGATGCACACTGTGCAATTAATTTTTTATTTTTCACTTTTAGTTCACATTTTGATTAAGCCTTTAACTAGATTTACACGATGATTAGGTGCTTATAGGCCATGAAAGAAATTTTATCTGGCTAGTTATGTGGGAGCTTAGTTGTCCCTGGCATCTGTCTCTGTTGCCTTAGGTCCTCTGGTGAAGGAGGAGGTTGTACACCAGTTGCTCGCCCAACTCCTGCAGGAGGCAGTGGCATACTTCTATGAGACCCGCTTAGTTTATAAGCAGGCATTGTCTTGGGCTTAGGAATCTGTGTGGTCTGTCTCTTAAGTGTGCCATGGCCTGTTCTCCCTGTTTTACTAGGTGCAGGGATGTTCTAGCGGGCATGAATGATTGGGGCGATCAGGCGGGACCCTCGGGTCACCAGGACTGCCAGCTGGTGGACTTAAGCAATGAGTATGCAAATAGATCGAGTCAAGAATGTAAATGTTGCCTAAGCAGTTGCTTGTCTTGGTGTGCTCGCCTTTCTTCTGGTTTTCTTTAATATTTGTGGTGATCTTGTATCACCAGACTTCCTTATGCCTCTATTCAGGGGCCCAGATTATGGGCCTGGTTGGTGCTAGTGATTTATTAAAGTCTGATATAACACCTGAGGTTTGGAGGATTTCAGGTGGATTGCTCGTGGAGATAAAAAGGAACTCACTGCAGTATTTCATTACATTCAATACTGAGGTTTTCTTTTTCTTATCATTCAATGCTAAAATTATTTCTTTAAACTTAACCATATATTGCAAGATATGTTTATCTGATTCAGATGAAAAGTTTTGCATATTTGGAGAAACTAGTGCTATTTTCTGTTTGTCACAATTACTCACGAATTGCAAATTATCGTCAAATGTTTCACACATCTAAGTACTGCATATTATGTCTTAAAACTAAATTACCTTTCACACCTATTAGTATATAATGTACCACATTGTTATTTAGTTTCATAATGTCTATATCACCCATAAGCACGGAGGTCAAAAATATTCGACAAGTTAATATTTTCCACCATTCCAGTTTTATCTCAATCTGTGTCAAACGAATGAAGACAGAGACGACCTCAAGAGAATTACCCTGGAGCCATCAGAGGAAGCCATACTTGTAAGTACACATCTGGTGAATAACCATAGAGTAAATGTCCGGTTGTGTTAATTGGTAAGCAGTCTTGCCATGTTAATGGGGAAATATTGTACAAATCCACAAGGGCCGTGATGAGGATTCGAACCTGCGTCCGAGAGCATCCCAGACGCTGCCTTAATCGACTGAGCTTAATCATTCGATGCATCACGCAATTGTGATTTCTGTGTGTAGGGAAATATTGTTAAAAATAATACACTATTGATAGCAATGGTTACAGCATTATTGTTTAAAATAATAATAATAATAATAATTTGTATTCATGAAATATACAAAGGAACATATAATTGATATTATTGTGGTTACCGAGTTGGTACAGTAATTGTTTATTATTTAAAGTTATTAATTTTGTGCTAATTGATTGGTTGAAACTATAGTATCTATTTAACCCTTTGGTCAGTACAGTAATTTGACCTGGGGGGGGGGGGGGAGGAGGAGGAAGCCTGATATAACCCTAATGTACATATCTGCCCGAAACACTATGCCTGTTAGTGGCTTTGCAAGGATGTAAAAATACCAATCTTATGTAATCTTGCCAATCCATTGTACCTTCTTGTAAATTAAAAATTATTATTATTATAATTATATATAGGCTGCTTGTCCCCCAACAAAATTAATGAACTAATTAATCTTCTTAATGCTTCTTTTCTTCATTATTTTATCTTTTCTTTATGGCAAAATTAATTATCCTTAGACAAACCATTCTTTTTATTCATGACTTATCCAATATTACTTTTATTTTTAATTAAAATGCTGTATAATATATTCTTCACTTTACTCTTAAGTAATTCCTCATTTTGCTGTATCCACACACACCATCAAGGAACTTATAAAGCAGTAAACGAATTATATTGTATAGGAGTTTTTTTTTTTATTATTATTATTATTTTCTACCACAGACGTGGCCAGACATTTACAATGCTAACCAGCATATATACATTTTCTTCTGTCCTCCATGGACAGGGTTAGAGATGTGTTAAACATATAGTTCAAGGGTTTATTGAACATGTATAGGAGTGATGGAAACAGTTCTAATGGGATGTCAATTTGTTTTACACAAGGAAGAGCATGAATGCACGAAGCCATGAACTGGTTCCGTCAAAACGTATTTCCCAGCACTTTTTACTTGTGTAAAGGAGGAAATGTGTATGTTTATCTCTCAGAATGTTCGGTAATACGTTTATTGTTTGTGATGTGTGTCTATGTATGTATTAACACGATGTACTGAACGGGGTAAGAATAGCTTGAGCTACCTCATCCCTTTGTGTGTATTTTACCTCAATAAACTTATTTCAATTTCAATTTCCAGCACTTTTCCTACAGTGTTCACACTCAGTCCCATCTTCCATATACACTATCACACTAGGTCTGCCCATTGTTTACCCCCTCCACCCCACACATACACTAGGTCTGCCCATCATCTCACCCCCTTCCTCTACTCCTACTTCTAATGTCACTGGAATACATTCTTCACCACTCCATTCCTTCGCTTAATAACTTACCAACAGCTTAATATGTCTTACCAACACAATGCACCATCCTCATTCTTACAAGCTACTAACTTCTGCACTCCACTTCGCTGAAATTTTCATTATTTACGCTATATATCTTTTAGAAGTAAATAGGTACCAAAGAGTTATGGTACTGTTGTGGGTTACATCCTGAAGGTCAGTGTTGGTCTATAGAGACCTCAATAAGGCTCACATGCTTCCTCTCCCTCATAATGAGAAACTTATATTTCCCGAAGCAAATCTGCCAGCAAATCTTCCCGGAGCAAATCTGCCTTATCTGCCAGCAAATACTGGAACCTTCCCATATTTGCTGGCAGATAGAATGCATGTTTTTGGTCCACAATCAACCAAATATACATATATTATATTTATATGCCAAAAATCATGTCCCCCCCCCCTCCCCCAACAAAATTACTTGAAAATTTCTTTGAATAAATGTATGATGAAATGTACAAAAAATAAGTAATAAATTCACAAAACATCCTTGTAAATTAGGTGCGTTTTATACGTCTGAAATTATGGTACGTGTCTGAAGAATGTGATGAATTTTGTATTGAACTTGTTTTATAAATGAGACATAGAATAATAAAGTTTAGTGTAGTAGAGTCAAGTAGTATAATAAAATTAAGAAGTGTTTGTGTATTGTATTTCTCTTAAGGTTGATGTAGCTGGTGGATTTGGGATAGGTAGCGTGAACAGTTCATATGGCGGAACTGTGACTCCCTCAGACTCCACTGCCACCTTCCAGTCTGCTGCCACTCTTCCCATCTCTGCGTCAATAGATCCCATCGACTCGTCAGCTCCCAGCTATCGAGTTGAGCATGTAATTATGGGGAGGGTGAGAGGAGGCTATACATCAACTTACACTACTTCCATCAGACTTTGGTCAGCAATTAAAAGTACGTTATTCCGCTGCATTTGGCTGTTTAGTATAAGAACCATATATTTAGTAGAAACTTATATTTTCTCAGGGGGGTTAATGGCTAAATGAGCTTGAGAAATGAGAAAACACTTGAAAACTTTGCATAGGATACAGAAGGATTTCAATTATATGTGGAATTTTTCTGCTGTACTTTGCTTTCAACTTCCCTACCCATGGATTTCTGGAGCCTATGGCAAGCTAGTGTAATCCCTGGAGTTTCTGCTTCTTTGGTAGTCTCTGTTTCTTTAATTTTGCTTGCAAACTGTGGTTTTGGTATTTGATTTCCAAAGATAGAACCGTCAAAAAGAACCGACAATCCTGATCCTGTCCTTGCCTCAAAATGGACCAAGAGTCCCAGTCGGTCCTTTTGGAACTGTGGCCAACTCGGTCCTCTGTCCTTGCATTAAATACAATATAAGTAAAATAATTAATTGAAATTAAATATGCAATTAAAGACAACACTAGGTTCTTCTTTGTCATCAGGTGCTGAAACCACTTACATGCTTGTAAGTTCTGTAAGTTCTTGTAAGTTACATGCTTACAGTTCTGCCCATATTTGATGATTTCCCCAGTTTGGCCTGGATTTTGTTGGATTCTCCTCTTCAGTTCTGGATTTGTGGTACTGTGGGTGGTTGGGCTATGGTTTTATGCAGTTCCATGTGGCTTCTTTGTTGCCTTTGCAACAAAGGTGGGGGGGGTGTTACACTTGCCTTTGAGGATGGGGTGTGGCCCTGGAATTGTCTGGCTTTCCTGCTCTGATTAAGAGGGCTCCACATGACCTTTGAGGGAACCAAACTATCAGAAGCGCCAAGCCATTATGACTATATAGCACTTGGAAGGGACCAGGATAAGAATTTGGGATGGGACGGGGGGAAGGAATGGTGCCCAACCACTTGGATGGTCAGGGATTGAACCAAACTGCATGAAGCGAGACTGTCACTCTACCGTCCAGCCCAAGTGGTTGGGCGAGGGAAGGGAGGATGTGTGTGCTTGGTTTTAAGCTGTTTGTTTGCCATAGCCTACAGGGGATTCTTGTTAGCCATTCTCTTGGTTTGCTTGAGTTTCTCTGTTTCCTAGGGGGAGGGGGGGGTTCTTTTTTTTTCTTTTTTCCTGGTCAACTGTTTGTTTCTTGCCAGCTGTTTTGTGAGTCTGTTTTTTCTGCTTTGGCCAGCTGATCTCCACCTTTTCCCTGCATTCTCACTCCAAGAGTAGATCATCTATGGGGAAGGGGGGGACATTCCCACAATGTACTTGCCTAGTTGTGCTTGCAGGGGTTGAGCTTTGGCTCTTTGGTTACAGGATGAGAGCTATGCTCGTGGTGTCCCATCTTCCCAGCACTCTGTCATATAACGCTTTGAAACTACTGACGGTCTTGGCCTCCACGACCTTCTCACCTAACTTGTTCTGTCTACCACTTTCTTTGCGAAAGTGAATTTTCTTATATTTCTTCGGCATCTGTGTTTAGCTAGTTTATATCTATGACCTCTTGTTCGTAAAGTTCCAGGTCTCAGGAAATCTTCCCTATCGATTTTATCAATTCCTGTTACTATTTTGTATGTATTTGTTTGTATGTAACTATTTGTTTGTATGTGTCTCAGGTTGTATGCTTGTAGCTTTGTCCTGTGGTTACATTTTCTGACCCTCATGCAAATGCATTAGGGTCAAAATAAAATAAATTGGCATGAGTTGCCAATATAAAACATTGGCAACCAATGTTTTATATTTGTATTATTTTTGTTACAGCCCCCCATTAAAAAGAAGTTGCCCATTTTCTTTAAAATTTAACTTATTCCTGGGTCTAGCAACCCAACCACAAACTGAGAATGGAATGTTTATATCATCATTTGCATTCATCTTCTGTATATCTATATATATATACGAGATAATAATTTTTACTGAAATTCTTCAAATAATCCCATACAAATATATATGTTTGATCATTCAGGAGGAGTCATAGCACGATGGCAAGTTGGTCGCAGTGTGTGGCAGTACATGCTCTCCATTGCCCTCGCTTATTTTGTGACGCTGTGCTTATATCCGGGGATAGAAACTGAGGTGGTGTCATGCAGATTACACTCCTGGATGCCCGTTGTCATGATGGCTACTTTTAATCTCTTTGATTTTATTGGCAAGGTAATGTTGATATTGAATGTTTAAGATTTGTGTGTCATAGAATAATAATAATAATAATAATAATAAACAAATGAACAAATCCACAAGGCAGTGTCTGGGATGCTCCCGGACGCAGGTTCGAATCCTCGTCACGGCCCTTGTGGATTTGTTCATTTGATGCATCACGTTAGTGTGATCTCTGTGTGTGATAATAATAATATATTTATAAGATATACAAAGGCCCAGATTATTGTGGTTACTTAGAGGATATACAGTAGTACTGTATTTGTATATTTTATAAAGCCATTAATTATGCACAGTGTTTTATCCATAACTTAAGATAATGAGTGAACTGAGGTTTACATTTACTATTTCTAGGAAATGTCTACCATTCTCATAGTGTGTGTAGTTCTATCTCCCTAAGACAGATGCACAAACTCTCATGCTAGATGGCTGTGAGCATTTTTGTAAGACCTTATAAAAATCCAGCATTGCATATAATGATGAAACGCCTCTTTCTGGCGGGTCCCTTAATGGCTTCCTCGTAGCTAACACCCCTAGATATCTCTACACGTTACACACCCTTGTGAGTCATTAAAACCTATCAGAAAATGGGGGCTTAAATCTGATCCTCTTAGAGAGGCACAAGAAGTAGGGGGACCTCCCAGATCAAGCGAACAAGCCACCAGAGAGGTACACTGAAACAAACACATTTTTGGGACCTGCCCAAAATGCTGTGTGTGTTAGTGGCTATACAAGAATGTAAAAACATTGATGGTATGTATTTATTTATTTATATACAAGAAGGTACATGGGGTTATGAGAATACATAGCATAGTATTTACAATCTTGTAAAGCCACTAGTACGCGCAGCGTTTCGGGCAGGTCCTTAATCTAACAGATAATTTTAAGTAGGTAAATTCTAGCAGAATTAATAAAATAACAAATACATTGCAAGAAAAAAATGAGATGAGAGAGATTAGTAAATATATTAAAGCACATTGGTATATTAAAGCTCTGATTGATTACATTGACAGCTTGATTGGTTTTATGTAATGTATTTGCATAAACCGAATGTACCTTTTTGTATAAATATATAAATAAAATAAATAAAAATGCGAGAAAGGAAAATGTGAATAACTGACACGCAGGAATACATGATTCTACTGTTCATTCACACTTCTCCCTTTTTTTTCTCCTTCAAATTTTGTTTAATATTGCCTTCTAAGATCATGCTATTGTGATTTCATTGCACATCACACAATTCTCTGTTCTTGGCTTAATAATTTGTTGTTGTTAACAGATCCTTGCATCAATCCCGTACGACTGGACCCGCAGACAACTTGTGAGCGGATCTATAGTTCGCATCGTGTTAGTGCCCTTCATGATGCTGTGTGCTGGACCACGAGCCACCCCGTTTTTCCCAGGCGAAGTCACTCCACTCATCCTCTCTGCTCTTCTGGGACTTTCCAATGGTGTTCTGGGTTCTGTTCCCATGATTCTGGCTCCAACTAAAGTGCAAGACGAACACAGAGAACTTACAGGTAACATCATGACACTCTCGTACTATATAGGACTGACACTCGGTGCCAGTGTTGCTTATGGCTTGGACGATATTTTGGGCCCACAGTTGCTCAACCCGTGTAATAACATTGATCCAAACTCAAGCCTGAAAAAACTTATGCTAAAACCAACAGATTTCACAGAATTAACATCCACACCACAAATCCCTTTCCAGAGTTTATTCAATATTTCAAGAGAAGGAATGAAGACTTTGTTCTGAAGTAGTTAATGTCCATGTTCTGTGTTGACACTTGTACCCTCTCGTATTAACTGCCAAAGTGTTGGATATAAAATTCATAGAGTAACTTGGATGTTGTAGTATAAAGGGTTGATAAGGGAACCAATATATAATTTTATTACTGACTAAAAAAAAAAGTTGTCAACACTAGTTGTTAACGTGTCACAAAGTAAACTTTTGAATGCATAACAAATGTGTTGGTAGTCAGCTGGTGAAACATGTGGTGAAGGTTCTACATGTGGTCAAGTATGTTGGTAGTCAGCTGGTGAAACATGTGGTGAAGGTTCTACATGTGGTTGAGTATGTTGGTAGTCAGCTGGTGAAACATGTGGTGAAGGTTCTACATGTGGTTGAGTATGTTGGTAGTCAGCTGGTGAAACATGTGGTGAAGGTTCTACATGTGGTTGAGTATGTTGGTAGTCAGCTGGTGAAACATGTGGTGAAGGTTCTACATGTGGTTGAGTATGTTGGTAGTCAGCTGGTGAAACATGTGGTGAAGGTTCTACATGTGGTTGAGTATGTTGGTAGTCAGCTGGTGAAACATGTGGTGAAGGTTCTACATGTGGTTGAGTATGTTGGTAGTCAGCTGGTGAAACATGTGGTGAAGGTTCTACATGTGGTTGAGTATGTTGGTAGTCAGCTGGTGAAACATGTGGTGAAGGTTCTACATGTGGTTGAGTATGTTGGTAGTCAGCTGGTGAAACATGTGGTGAAGGTTCTACATGTGGTTGAGTATGTTGGTAGTCAGCTGGTGAAACATGTGGTGAAGGTTCTACATGTGGTTGAGTATGTTGGTAGTCAGCTGGTGAAACATGTGGTGAAGGTTCTACATGTGGTCAAGTATGTTGGTAGTCAGCTGGTGAAACATGTGGTGAAGGTTCTACATGTGGTCAAGGAAACAAAACATGATAAAAGGGAGCAATATATATATATAAAATGGCTAAAACTGTTAAGCATCAAGTTTGTGGATCTATAACATGAAAAGTAATGAAAATTTATGTGATGTTAATTGTCATAAATGGGCATTAAGAAGCTTGTAATGTGTTGGTAATAGTCAGTGATTCTAGTCATTCGTACAGGAGTTAAACTTACAGATTGCCTTCAAAATGTTTGATAGCATTTTAATACTCTTTTTAAGCAAGGCCCCCTTGGTTACTTTGAGCCATGAGCTAGGAATCATCCAGGACATTGCTTAAATGCAAAGCTCTCCTCGACTTTCACCCCACAGTGACAGTGGACTTTGCTAATGATCGTACTACTTAATTCAGAATGGGAGACAGCGGAGAGTACTCTGAATATACTATTGTAAGTGATTGCTTGTTATTATATCTCTTAATAAGTAAGGGGCAACCCAGTTAGTTTAGTTCATTTATTATGCACCCCATACCCATCTTGTGGGCGGTAGTGGAAAGGGTTACAGAGGCACATAATGGACCTTGGGACTGAACCCCACAATTCATTTAGGTAAGCAAGTTACAATCTTGATGAGCTAGCACAAGGATGCCAATTTTTCATTTGAACCACTGAGGTGCTGAAGACTAGCTGTCACCTGACCACCACCGAGTGGCAGTCAGGTTAGTGCTACAGGGTTAGTGTGTGTGTGTGGACAACCCCTCATTTTCTGTGTTATACATCCAGCCGAGACTATATCTCTGTAGAGACCAATTCAGCTAGATTGTTTTCCTTCAAACTTTATATATATTGTGCATTGATTGTGTTCACTTCACAGCAAGGTTTCCAGTGTTTTGCTTGTCTCTTACTCGTCTCCCCAGTCCTTCTTGCTTTGGTTTTGTTTCTGGGTTTTCTTCCCCTGGCACTGATTCCTCCGACTGGGAATTCCCCCCCCAAGTTTTTTTCCTGTGGTCATGGTGTATGGCTTGGGCAGAGTATTGTTTATCTTGAGCTGGACCACTTTCCTTGGTGGGGCATTTTGGGACACTGTCTCACCTTTTGAGACTTTGTGCTGGTTCCTGCACTACAGGTATATTGATATTCATGTAGATTATACACAGAATCTGCCTCGGAATCTTTAGCGTGCTCCGCCACGGTAACACTGTACAATTGGATGTTTTACGAGAGGGGTCTCATTTGTCTGCCACATCATAATTTGTATGAAGTTGAGTTAATGTACACCAGGTATACACCTCTCAAGTTTAAATTGCTTCTCCAGGTTATGACAGCTGGTGGATCTATTTCTCATGCAGGATTACTTCAGGATTTTTGTGCGCTACGTGTCTACTGGTTGGTGTTAAGCCTATTAATTATTTTATGTCTTGTTGTGTGCTGTTTCCTGATTGTACACTTCTGTCATCAAGACATACAGTAAGTATGCATATGATATGGAAAGACCCATATGCACCTATTTTCAATAAACAAGAATGAAAACAAAATAAGCATTTATGTCTATTAAGTCATTATTCTAGACGTTGCTTTGTGTGCCCCATATCCTTGTGGGTGCCCCCCCTGGAGTTAAGCTCCCCTAGGTTTGAGCATGTACCGTAGTCCTTCTGGAGCAAGTCCCATTCGCACTCATTTTTTGGGAGTGCCATGAACGTTAACTATAAACGTATGGCCCCCCCCTCCTGTTGGGGACATGTCTCAGGGTGGTTTTGTGGTCTCCCTGAAGAAGTACAATGCTTGTTTCATTGGGGCATGCTTTGTGACATGCTCCCCAGTTTTTTTTTTGTGCTTTCCTTGGCTCTTGAGATTAGGGCTCCCTTAATCTTTTGGGAAATACCAGGGAACTCCCTGGTATTTTTCTTGGTGGGTATCTTGGATGACTGGTTCCTTTTCCAAGCTCAACATATGTGCCCCTGAGTCACTAGATGTGATCCCTGGTTCCCCAGGTATTGTACTGTTTTTTTCTGGTATGGCCCATATTTTCCAGGATGCATACCGTATCTTCTCGGGTGCATCCCTGGGGTTAGTTCCCTAGTTCTCGGGCAATGCATCCCGGTTTAACAGGTTCTCCAGGGTCAAATCCTGTCTGGAGTTCATCTGGGCCAGAGATGTTTGCTGTGCTCTCTTAACATGTCTTTTGGGTTACCATGGCGTTTCCTAGATCCCTCTGTGATTTCTCAGACCTTTCGAGCATGCCACGATTCTCCGTCATCCTGGTAGGGGGGATTAAAAGGTTCCTGGGGCAGTTGCCTGTAACTTGTCTCCGAGTCTCTTGCATGTTCTAAACCCATTTCCGCCATCTCCCTCTCCACATTTATATGGCAAAGCAAATTGCAAAGTGCCTTGTAATGTTGGCACGAACACTGGTGGAAGTTTGAGGTCATAGTGGTGTCCTGGATAGATCTTGTTGATAGCTTAGGGAATGCTCAAGAGGGGTTAATAAAAAAAAGGAGCATTTCAATTCTCTCGACACCATATTTTTTTAATACGCATAATAGATTAGGTTTCATAAAATAAGACGTTGCTGCTTTAGTTAAGACAATATTTTACAATGATTGTATTAATCTTTTAAGTATAGGAACTTCTAATAAGGTCAAAGTTTTTCTAGTGTGTGTCTCAGGTTATTATTAGTTGATACACAATAAAAAATCTCATATCACAAATTATTTATTCTAGAATAGCAGATATAGATTTTATTAATGCATTTTATATATATATATATATATATATATATGGTACTATTAGAGTATATATAGCACTGTATTTATAATTTTAATTCATGTTCTTGTAAGAGTAGAGAAGAATACATTTTCCAAGTCACGCACACATTATTTTAGGTTGTGTGAGTTTGAATACGAGTTTTCTCCAGATTTAAAATTGACACCTTTTATTTTGTGATGAACAGTTGTACAATTCTGTACTTATTGAAGTTAATTGTTGTTTAAATTTTTGAGAATAGGGTATTATGTTGCAGAGTTGAGTAAGAGTTTAAAGACATAGTGTGATTATACATTCTAAGGACAGAAGTTATGCAGGTTCCTTTGTGAAAAAGTCCACATACATTATTCATTCCTTTTTAATTACTAGAGAATAAATACAAATCCTATTGTCATTTGTGCAGTTCTGTGGTACAACATAACATTGAAGTTGCATGGAAAATCTCGCTCTTTACCATGCTGTACGTGCAAGAGCTTGGTGGTAGCCACACACAGATATATATAAGGTGTCATTGTCTTATTCACTCAAATGATACAACTGTCAGCCATAGAAAGTACATGGAAGGCTTCACTCTACTGTTAGCCATAAGTACCTGGAAGACTTCACTGTACCAGCCATAAGAGTAGGCAGACGATGAGGCACTACTGTATAACATGGCTGAAGGTATGATGACCAACCCACACACCAGAAAGTGAAGAAACTACGACACTTTGAAACTAACAGGAAACTACGAAAGAAACTACGTTCACTTTTGATACCTGGTTGATACCTACCAGGTATCAACCAGGTTTGGTTTGTGCTGGACAATTATTAAGCCATCACATGGCTCGATAATGGTCCAGGACGGACCACAGCATGTCGTGGTCTCTTCACTTTGGTGATCAGCCATAAGAGTACAGGGGAGACTTTGCTGTACTGGCAGCCATAAGTACATGGAAGACTTCACTGTACTATCAGCCATACTCAAGACATGTCTCGACATCTCTGCAGACAGCTTGCCGGGCTCATGTCTTGAGTCATCTTTACCTGGTTGGGCTCCAATACTTTTTCTGGATTGGAGACGTAGTATTTTGATATGAATGAAAGTATTGTTCACTTTAGTTCCATTTGTAATCCTTTGTGAAAAAAGGGCGTAAAACATTGTTTTAAATTTGTACATCCAATTACAAGATGTCTTTGAAGTCAATAACTGTTATTACGTAATGTATGCCTGCCTTCATATATATATATATCTATCAACGTTTCAAATTATGTTCAAGAATTTAATCCCGTTTGAATAATATATTTTGATATATTTAAATAATATGAGAAACATTGCAGATAAGATTTAGGGGGTAATGACAGTGGACAAAACGTATTTTGCCAGGTGCAGTATAATGTTATATGCCTTGGTTAATACAGGTTAGACATAACTATGTCTTGAAAAGCTTGTCTTCCTTACACATTTGTATAATTCAGTCATCTTGGAGGACTCTCTCTGTCAGGGCCTAAAATTACTAGTCACTTAGCTACCAAGTTGGTTTTGGTTTCACTGTGAATTATAGAGTATTAGTGTTAAGTCATTATATTTATCTTAACCCAAGTGGACACACTATCCAAGAGTGGCGATGGTTTGATGTCGAATCAATGTTGTCGATGACATTAATTTTGCATTGAATTACTCTCGGATATTGTGCCCTCTGCGATGTTTATTAGAAGACTGACAAATACTTATTGTATACATTTATATTATTATTTTTATGATGATGGCTTAAGAAAGTTTACTTAGTTCTTGACTCTTTCCATAAAACATTTATGATTTGAGACCATCAAATAATGTATAAGATTATTTTAATATACTGTACTTGATTTTTAATATTAACTTTATGATCAAATAAAGGTTACAAATACATTTGACAATAGTACTACTGTATTTAGTTTAATTCCTTTGAATTAAACACTAGATTATTTTTTGCCTTGCTAACAAGTTTGTTAAATATTTTAACATCTTATGGCCCCATGGCAACTACTGTATTTTTTTTTTTTTAACCTTTTGAGGGTGGGGGAATTTTGTGCATCTAAAATAGGCTTAATTGTATTCTTGAGGTTATCTTGAGATGATTTCGGGGCTTAGCGTCCTCTTCTTCATGAGCCACTCAAACAACTGCTCTTCAAATCAAGGCACTCGAGCCTCCTTCGCTACAAGAGAGGGTCGTCTTAAAAGGCAAGATCAGATCAACAGTTAATTACCTCTCTCTCTCTACTGCCTTCAAGGTAAGTAATGAAAAATATGTTTAAATACAAAACAAATATTAAGAAAATCTCACATAATGGTGCAAGAATCTGCAACATGAAGCCCTTCTCTCACCCCAGACGACA